AAAAAAAAAAAAAAAAAAAAAAACTCAACAAAAAGAAAATGAACAGATTTTAAAATGGACAAAAAATATGAATAGAATCTCACTGAAGAACAGAAACAGACAGCAACGAAGCACATGAAAAGATGCTCAATCCCACACCAGGGAGCTATAACCTGAATACAGCACCACACACTTGACAGGTGGCTGATATCCAAAACGCTGACACCACATGCTGACAAGGACGTGGGGTGGCCGGCACTCTGGTGAGTGGGGTGCAGGATAGTACAGCTGCCTTGGAAGACAGATGGGCAGCTTGTTACAGAGCTAATCATGGCTTTATAGGATCCAGCTATCTTGCTCCCTGTTAGTTACCAAAGGAATTGGAAACCTGCATCCACACAAACTCTACACGCAGATGTTTACAGCAGCTGTATTCATAACTGCCAAAACTTGGAAGCAACCAAAATGTCCTTCAAGTGGCGAATCAACTTAGAATATCCAGACAAAACATTTCAGCACTAAAAAGAGATGTGCCATGGAGCCCTGGAAGACACAAAGGACCCTGACGTGCACAGTGCTGAGTGGGGAAAGCCAGGCTGGGAAGGCTGCACACTGGAAGACCCCAACTAAGGACGTTCTGGAAAAGACAAAATTAGGTGACGTGGAAAGGATCAGTGGCTGCTCGGGTTCTGGAGTAAGGGAGGATGAACAGGCAGAGCGCAGAGGACTTTCAGGGCAGTGAGATTACCGTGCATGACACCGTGACAGCAGATACATTACATGCCTGTCCAGACCCAGTGTCCAACAACCAAGGGTGAGGCCTCATGTGGAGAGAGGAAAGCTGAGAAGGGTGAGGTCTAGAATGGGTCTTCAAGGAGACCACAAGAACACACCTGCGGGGTCCTCTCCATGGTGACTCAGCTCTTGGGAATTTGTAAACTTAACTTCCTGGAACTTCGAAATTTCCAAGTTCTGTGAAATCCTGTAGTTCTGCAGGGGCTGGAACATCATCTCCCGCTTGATTCAAACTAACCAATGGGAAGGGTACCTGTTGGGTGGAACTTTTTGACTGTCAATAAAAAGGTAAAGACCAAGCCAGTCAGGGAACAGGCCATTTGGAATTCTATGCTGTGAGCTCCTGGCTGGTGAATAAAGCCCTTGCTATTATAAATGTGGCATTTGGGTGCTCTTTCTCTCCATTGGGCCTCGTCTTCCTGCAGCAACATCAACTATGGACTCTGGGTGACAGTCAGTTGCAGGGTCATTGGTTGAAACAAGCCTTGAGGGGGTGTGGTAGTGGGGAGGCTGCATGTACTGTGTTTCCCCCAAAATAAGACCTACCCACAAAATAAGCCCTAGTAGGATTTCTACACATTTGTTAAATATAAGCCCTACCCTGATAACAAGACCTAGTGATGGGCATGGCTATGCAGTTTATCTGCATAGCCACGCCATGCATTCCTGTGTGGAGTGGTAAGACTGAAATACCTTTTATCTGCCACAGCTCCTTTCTTCGAGCCGTTCACACTTGCATGGGTGCGTGCGTGTGTGGTAACCATGGTCCCAGGCATCCTATTGTGCATGTGCGAACAGCTAGGAGAAACTAGCACCAGCCCCACTAACAAGGTCGGCTCCCCCGTCAGGTTCCAGAAGATGACTTAACTGTATTTGAATAAATGTAGATTACTGTATTATACTTAATAAAAATAAGACATCCCCTGAAAATAAGCCCTAGTGTGTCTTCTTGAGAAAAAATAAATACAAGACAAGTGTCTTATTTTTGGGGAAACATGGTATGTGTGGGCCATGGGAACTCTCTGTACTTTCTGCTCACTTCTGTAAACCTAAAAGTACCCTAAAAAATAAAGTTTATTTAAGACTACATGAAGGGGAAGAGTATGGGTGGGGGCTGTGGGGGCCGTCAGGCAGGGGCTCACATCAAGCCTTGAAGCACTCACTGGCCAGTTTACCCCAAGCCCATAGTTGGGGCCTGTGCTTGGCCCTGGGGAGACTGAGGCACAAGAGGGGCTCATGCCTTCTCCTCTGGAGTCCCTGGCCCATTGGGAGAACAGAGGACATACTGGTAACATGGGCCCACACATGTGCAGCTACAGACCATGAGATCATAGACAGATGACAACTGGGTGGACAAAGGGTCACTCCTTGACCAGGGAGTGCACAGAAGTCCTCTCTGCAATGTCACTGAAACCAAGAGTTGAGGGATGAAAGTGGCCAATAATACAAACGGGGGGAATGGGCTGGGAGACAAGGGCAAGGCCCAACTGGCCCTGATAGGAGGAAAAGTTGACAGCCAGGAAGAAGAGTGGCAGGGACTGGTGTCTGATGGGAGCTGGGTGCACAGGGGTCCCCCAGATGGAGGCTGGAAGGAACGCACATGGGGGGCTGTTTGGGCATGCCTCATTCCAAGCATAGTGTCCAGTGGACAGTGATTCTACAGTCAGGGGGCTCCCTCGGCAGAGACCTGAGATTGAGGGAGTGAGAGAGGAAAGAGCAGAATGTAGGTCAGGTGGCCGAGGGGCCAGGAGCAACCTCTGGACCAGGGGCAGAGAGGTCCAGCGAGAGAACCACAGTACAGCCAGAACCCTGGTGACTGTACAGGAGGTGAAGCAGTGCCCTTAAAGGGAGGGCAAGGAGGTCAGGAAAGGCTTCTGAACGTGCAGGCAGGATGGGCTCAGGGGCCAAGCACCCTTGGCCAGCCCAGGGCCTGCACCCTGGCCTGGACAGCTCCGCAGTGCCCCCTGGTGGCAGGGCCTGAAGCTGTGCCCTATCCCCTCTGGGCAGGGTCTGAGACAAGGGGTGGGATGGTGGCACAGCATGGCTGCTGGTGTGTGGGACAGGCTCTTGTCCTGTGAGGCCTTCCTGAGGCCCTGCTCTGGGAGGGAGAGGAGGGTCAGGCCACCAGAGAATTGAGTTTTTCAGTTTCCATGGAGGAAGAACCAGGTGTCAGGACTGGCTGTGACTAATGCTGAATGAACTGGCTGAGGACCCACACATAGCACGTATCATGTCAGCCAGAGGCCCTGCCCACTCCTAGCCAGCCATGAGGCCAGGAACACCACAGGGGGGTGCCCTGATCAGCTGACCTCGCACCACGGTGGGTGCCCCTATAATAGAGCTTGAGTCCTGCTCTCACCAGGGCCTGCACCCTGTCCCAGGCCAGCACCTGACAAACTGGACCAAACCCCATAGTGGGGCCCACAGCCACTTTCTCCATAACTGCTCAGGCAGGCAGACCAGAGGAGAAAGAACATTCTCCAATGGGTGTCATGTGCAGATACCCATGCTTTCATCCAAAATGTGTTATCCCCAAACCACCCCAACACAGACAAATGCCAGCACAGTGCCACGGACCTGCTCCTCCCTGCACCTGTGCTGCCCTGGAGCCCCGTGGCCTGGATGGCGCACTCAACCACAACAGCTCAGTTCCTCTGGAATCCTCCCTTCTTCCTGAAAATTAAGAGAACTGAGACTCATTTAAGAAAACTCATTTATACTCCCTATTTGCCATTTTGAGAAAGGCTAACACGGAGCGGCTTTCAGAAGTTCCATTTTAGAAAGGAATATATTCTCTGTGGCTGAAGGGCCAGCTATAAAAATCCACTTTTTGTAATTAGCACAAGTTTACTTCAATCAATCTTTACCTACAAACGTGGTATTTCTGTTTTCCTGATTAGCAGACTACAAGTTTAAATTTTTCTTCTTTCAAAAACTAAATAACTTGAACTGCTGAACCTAAGATTACAAAATAGTATTTCTCTACCCGAATCAATTCTCTTCCTCAAAAAGTGGCTTAGGTGTAAATTTTCAAAGACTCCCAGTGTGGTGAGTCACAGCTGCTTCTAAGAGGCAGAGAGACTAACTCATCAGCTGCCTCTGTTCCATCTCCGTGGGACAGATGTCTCAGAGGACCCCATACATCCAGACCTCCCTCCACAGGGAGACACCAAACTCCTGTCCTATTCCCAGATGGACGGCAACTGGCCTCCAGCTCAGGGCTAAGTGGGTGAGACTGAACCCAGAGCCCTGCGCTGGGCGCCTTCCGTGTGCATCACTTTCCAGCGAGTTCCAGCACCTTCTTCACCATGGCTCCGATGCCATCGTGGATGTGGTGGAGTGCTGTCTCGCACATGAAGGCTGGGGTTGTGACCACCTTGTTTTTTTGGTCAACGTGAGCTTCGTGTACAAAAGTTAAGGATAAAAACATCACCCACCAAGGACCCAAGAGAATCTCAGGTATAAACCCCTCCCCCCCCAGCCAACTTCCCTCTGAACAGATCCTGGAAAAGGGAAACTCCCTTCTGGTGCCACCCATGCCGGCAGGACCCCTCTCCACATTGCGCTGCTCAGTTAAATGAGATAGACTCAGCATCCAGTTCACACACATTGGAAGGGAAGCAGCAGCCTCCCATCTCAGGAACAGGAGGTGCCTCCGGATGTGCTTTGTGCCAGCACCCTGCAGGCCAACCATACACGCCCAATCCTGGGACAGAGGCTTCCACCAAAACCAGCCAGGCGTCCTTGCTGACACTTTGTGCACACCTGCCTGTGCCCTCACCTTCCACCCCATGCAGTGCAGGCTCCCTGACCTGAACCCTTGCTGTTCCCTCACTCTTAGTTGTGCCCCGACAGCAAGACCAGCAAGCACAACTCCTGGTACAGAAACCACCTACCAAAGCTGCCCCAAAGGAGGGTATCCCCAACACCGTCCTAGGGACAAATGTGCGCGCCACAGGCCTGGTCCTGGCTGTCAAAAAGGATATGGTCACTCCCTTGACACAGTGCTTGGCGCCCAAGGCCTTGATAGCGTCTGCAGTCCCAGCATAGGGCCACTTACCACCCTCTTCCTGGTCGTGGCCCACGGTGACCTCAACACCTCTGAGCACTTTGGCCGCCAGCACAGGCGCAATACAGCATAAGCTGAAAGGTGCAGAGAGCACAGGTCAAGGGGCAGAGTGTGGGGATGTGGAGGGTGGCCAGGTACAGCTCCCAGGAGGGGCGGCCCAGAGTGACAGGGTTTCAGATGGTTCAAGTGTGGCGAGGACCCAGGCAGGGCCGTGGCCGAGGGGCTCTGACCAAGGAGGGGATGCTATGGGAAGGCTGGGTGTTCTAGAAGTCTGCACCAGGGGAGTGGAGGCACCCACGTGAAAGGATTTCTGCATCTGGAAGGCAGCCAGGACATCGTGAGAGTCCCTCCTGGTACAAACAAAAAAAAAATCAGTCTTGGAAAAATCTCCAAGACCTCAGAGCTCCCAGCCATGGCTTCTGGCTGACTGCAGACACCACTGTTCACACATACCCAATGGGCTTCCCGGCCTGGTGGAACTCCCTCAGGACACGTTCCACGTCTTTGTTAACACGGCAATCCTTCCCATCCACAGCAAATGTGCTCCTGCCAGGGAGAAAGGCCTGCCTCAGCGCCTGTCGGGGCCCATTCCTTGGGGGAGCTCCCCACCCCTAGCTCCTGGGCTCTGAGGTCCACCATGTGCTGAACAGCTGAAATGAGCAGCAAACCGTGTGTGAGATTTTCGGGGTAATTAATGTCTCACTCTTTCCTTGTTTTTAAGCAGGAATACCATGAAAAGTGGAAGGGTGCATCGAGATGGGTGGCCAGTAGAGGTTGCTGGCACCCACCCCCAAAGTAGACCCTCTGGAGTCTACTAAGTCAGGAGGAGAAGAAAGCCCAGGAAGCAGGAAAGGAGACATGACCAACCCAGCAACACTGTGACAGTGCGACCTCCTCACTGACAGAGGCGCTGTCCAGCCTGCAGCACCACCAAGGCCAGCAGTGCACAGGCCCTGCTCCACTCCTCCCACTGGCTCTGTCCCATCCCTCTATTCCAGCATTTTTACTACGTGTTTTGTTTGCTAGACATCTTTGGAGTGACAAGTGGTCACTGTCCCGACACAGAAACTGCTTCAGAGGGTGCCCAAGTGCCAAAACTGATTAGATTGTGAACTTTACTTTTTTTAATTTAATTTTATTGGTTTTTTTGAGGTAAGACTTTTGTGGCCCTCGGTAGAGTGCCACGGCGTCATAGCTCACAGCAACCTCAAACTCTTGGATTTAAGCGATTCTCTCACATCAGCCTCCCAAGTAGCTGGAACTACAGGTGTCCACAACACCCAGCTATTTTTAGAGATGGTGTCTCGCTCTGACTCAGGCTGGCCTCGAACTCCTGAGCTGAGGCAATCTATCTCCTCTGGCCTCCCAGAGTGCTGGGATTATAGGTGGAAGCCACTATACCCGGCCTAAATTGTGCACTTTAAACACATGGACATCAGTTATACCTCCAAAATGCTAATAAAAACAAGACTGGAAGGGACGTGAGCAGCCAGTGGGGGGACTATTCAAATGGGTCACAGTTGGTCTACCCTAGAGACTCTACATCACCATTATACAGCTCAGAAGCCACTATGAGTACACTGGTCAGTAAACACAAAGCCCAGAATGGTGCTAGTGAGGGGCTAGTGACATTTTTCACATACCCATATACACAGAATCTTTTGGAAATACAAAGCTGGCAGTGGCCAAGGAGTTGGGGTCAGAGTGGGAAGGAATCAGATCTCATCACAGCTGTGGCCACACTAACCTGTGGGAGCAGCAGCCACCACCTTCCAGGAACTAGGCTTATAGCCATTAATCTTCCTTCTGGAAAGGTTGGCAAGAATGTGAGTGGAGCCCAGGGTGGGGGCTGCTTCATGAAAGGAGATGTGAAATCAGGGCACACTACAGGCACCCTGGCCTCGGCAGAGCCTGGACTCAACACCCCTCCACCTGCGTGTCTCGCTTAGCAGATACAGATGGTGCACCAGGCCAGAGACGGCCCCACCAACCGCAAATGCTCAGTGGCCCGTCCCTCCTGGCCAGGTGATAGGGTCAGAGCTCAGGGACACACCGCAGGTGGTCTCCATCAGCTGAAGTCTCACTGCAGACAGCATCTCAACAAAGAAAACTATACCTCATACATCCTGCCAGGAGGCTGGAGAAGATGGCAGGATCTTCATGAGACACAGCAAAGCACTGGACAAAAGGACTGGACCATGGTAGGTCTGGGGCTCAGGCAGCACCAAGGTCCACCAAGGTCCACCAGCTTGTGGGAGATGGGTGCAAGATGTGAGCACTACCACAGGACTGGGAAAATAGGGCCAGAATTGGGAGGGAGGAATCGGCCTCCATGGGCAATGCATAGTCCTGAGCGTTTTTTTTGTTTGTTTGTTTTTTGAGACAAGGTCTTACTTTGTCGCCCTTTGTAGAGTGCTGTGGTGTCTTGGCTCATAGTAACCTCAAACTCTTTGGCTCAAATGATTGTCTTGCCTCAGCTTCCTGAGCAGCTGGGACTACAGGCACCCTCCACAATGACTGGCTATTTTTTGAGACAAGGTCTCACTCTGGCTCAGGCTGTTCTCAAACCCATGAGCTCAGGAAATCCACACACCTCAGCCTCCCAAGTGCTAGGATTACAGGTATGAGCCACGTCACCTGAGAGTTTTGAAAGAACAGAAGGGCACCGTTGGAGAAGGAATGCCTCTGTCTCCCACCCAGTGCAGCACAAGCAGCCAGTCAGGAGGCTACTGTGGTGGAATAAAGGTCAACTTGTCAGCTGACTACGGGACGAGATGAAGTCAGCCCGAGGAGTCAAAGCGGGTGAGAAGCAGCCGGGCACCTGACCCTGCCCTGCTCCTCCCCAAGTCGGGGCTGACCTGGATGGAAGGCGAGACCAACCCAGGGGACACCAGCTTCAGCATGTTATAAGAGATTCTGATGGACTCTTGCAGGCAGCAGAAGGCCTGTCAGGGAATGGTCTAGGTGTCCTGCACTGCAGTGAGGACCGATGCCACACATAAAGGGGCTGATGGGGATAAGAGGACACAGAAAACAAGAGGCTTAGGGAATGCTAGGGCTCCAGACTGAGTATGAGATGAGCTATGTGTGGTCACCTTTGGAGAAAAGTGGCAGCACAAAGCCACAGAGGGAAGGAAGCAGGGGTGGTGGTGGAGTGGTGTGGGGGTGTAGCTCCTGGAGCCAGACCCATAAGGAAGGGGGTGAACAGCCTGGCCAAGGGAAGGCAAACTCAGCCAGCTCCCGCTCCCATGGGTAGGAAGATTATATTCTACCACAGAAGCTCTGGTTTACCCCTGAGGCAGGAGGATCGATGGGCTATTTCTATACTATAGCACACAAGCCACTGGCAGGGGCTGGGCGCACTGAGACAGAGCAGGAACTGCTCCTGCCAACTCTGCAGTCACCGGGAATCGGCCCTGATCCCCGTCGCAGGCAGGGACACACTGAGGACAGCACCAAGAGAATATCCAAGCATACATAAGAGAGAAAGGAAATACAGAGAAGGAAAAGAGAACACGAAACCCAAATACCTCACTGTATGGGTGCCTGCCTGGCCCCCATAGCTCGTGGTCCAGTTATTATAGTAACAACCCGAACAGTAAAGCAAGAAAGGGTTCCTTTCCTCCTGTGAAGGCCCCCACCCAACTATCAAACAGGGAAAGGATCTTTTACACTTCTAAGTTCTCTGAGAGAAGTGGAATCCACAAAGAATCAATACCCAGAGACCAATGTCCCTGTAGTGAGTACCACAACATGCTGGGTGAGGGACTCCTCTGACAGTGTCAGGTACCAGGAGTGCCTGGGAAAGCAAAGGACATGTGCTTTGATGACATGCTGCCTAAGCCCCTCCCCCAGCAGCACCCGGACAGAAGCAGACACGGGCACTGTCCAGACTCTAAAAACCCAGGGACTGTTCCTGTCATGCACACCCACTCCCTGCCACTGCTCCACATAGAGAGCAGCACAGACCCTGAAACTGGAATACACACAGGTTTTTGGCAGCTCCAAAGCCTCCGGGAAAGATGGCGGCATCATGGTTGCTTGCAGTGAGTGTGGCCAGGTCTGCAATCTTGCCACGGGCGATCCTCGCTGACTCAGTCAAAACATTCCTGAGAGAGAGCATAACCCAACAAGAAGGTTCAGTGTATCCAGTGTACAGGCAGGGCCAGCTGCAGAGGACACATCTTCACACAGCTCTTAGCCAGAGGGAGGGTGCTCGCACAGCTAGGGTTGTGACACTCCAGGGTCACTACCTGCCAAAGGTTCCAGCAATGCTAAATCTATGCTGGGGCCCTTTAGAGAAGCACTGGGAAGCAACGCCAGACGACTCCAACCTTCTGGCACAGTCACGTATCTGAAGCAGATAGAAAGCAGTATGTGCCCTCAGCATGGTGGGGAGGAGGGAGCTGAAGACACTACTGCCTGACAGAGTGACATGACCTGAGGCACAGCCTCACAGGCAGCAGCAGCAGCCTAGGCTTAGGGGACAGCAGGAGCAGGCACAAATTTTAGGGGCAGGGGCCAGAGTCCCAGCAGGAAAAGAAATCACAGGGATCTCAACTGGGAGAACCACAGTTCCTAGGTGACAGAACTGAGGTTTCTTCCTCCAATCCTATTCCTGCCCCTGCCTCTTGTGGTCTGAGGCTAGTGGAAGGCACTGGAAAGCACCACTCAAAGAGTGGTCACCCTGTAGTCAAAGGGGGGAGGCAGGGGGAGAAATGGCTTTCAGGGCACACACGGCCAGGGTGGCATGCACCTCAGTAACAGAAATGCCGCTGGCAACTAGCTAACGAGGCCTGGAGCCACACAGGTAAGGCAGACCACCAAGCTGACAATGCCACCTTTGGTCAAAATAAAGGTCAAGCTAAAGCTTCACTCAGCGGGAAGACCATGATTGGTATTTTCACTATTTCTGAAAGTACTGGAAGGTGAGAAATACCTCGAGCCACAGAGGCCTGAGGATGACTGCCTTGAAAGACATCCATTTGAACACACAAATTCAGCCACCCAAGAAAATCAAGCCAGCAACGAAAGGCTGCCCTGTGAGAGGTGGGCAGAAGTTCTAGGTCCCAATCTTGTCTTCACACCTGGTTTCGCTCTCAGAAGGCTGTCCCTTGGAGTGGTCAATCACATGCATCTGAGGGATATCAGGAGCAAAGATTTGGACCTCGGCCCCACCACGGCTCAGGTGCACCAGTATCCTGCAGGGGAGAAAACCGGGAACAACGCTCTGAAAATGCTCCAACCACCTTTGTGTTGAGGCAAACTTATAAACAGGATTTTAGCTGATGGCCAGGAGTAAATTACTAACCTACAGTAACATGCTACCTACTTTTCAAACAGTTGTGAATGCCTTGCTAACCCAAATGCCCCCAGTTCAATTCCCGGTCACCTGGTGGATTACGACTCTCCCAAAGCAGGCTGGGGAAATCACCTGGTCCTGGTACAGGTGGAACCAAGCGACTCAGCTGAGACCATAGCCTGGATGTGTTTGTGTTCCCAGGGACCACCGAGCTCTCAGCCTTTACCAAGGCCTGTCTGACTTGGCCCTGGGCCTCCAAGAATGAATCCGATGATGTGCTGGGGGCTAAGTTCAATTTCTAGCCTCTAGTCACAGGTGGTGGGAAAGACATGCATACACCAGGATGTGAGCAGGCAGGAAGGAGCTCGTCTCCCTAAGGGAGATAGACAACAGCTACCCAGGTCAACGGCTAGTAGTCTGCAGCCTTGCCCTGTGCCAGTTAGGACTCCAAATGCCAGTAGCATAGCTCATGAGCCCCACCAAGACACCAGTGCTCTCACTGCTCCTTACAGAGGAAACTTGGGGCTTGAAGCACAGTGACTTGCCCAGAGTCATACGGTAGTTAGGATCTGGGCCTGGTCCTCAGTTTCTTCTATCTGAAAGTAAACCACCCCAGCACATCAGACTCACGCCCTACAGGTACGCTAGGAGTCTTAGGCTCTTCCCTGGCTGTCTCTTGACTCACAGGCTCTTTCTCCCTAAGCTTAAGTTGCAATGTGAATCCTGGCCCTTTGTCCCCAGCGCCCTTACTCTACGGTCACTGCCGACTCTGAATCAACTCCAGACTAGGCAGGTGCAGTCACCCTGCAGTGCTTCAAGTCTCTGTCTGCAGCCCAACACACCTAAACCACCTCCTACCTCTCCCCTCTCCAAAGCACTCTTGACCACGTGGGGAAAAAGGAGCCACAGCCAAGCAGTAGGCCTAATACCCTGCAGGTTCTGCTCATAATAACTTCTAAGAAAATAAACAATCAGAATAGCAACAACTGACTAGTTTCATTAATGATAATCTAACCACAGCCCACAATAGGATGCCATAGTAACTATATGAATGATGCAGCTGAGAACTGAATGGAAGGAAATTAGTTCCCCCACAGGAGAAACATTCACACAGGGCAGATAAATGTAACTGTACTGAACATCACCAAATGAAATGGCAAGTGTTTACCTCCAAGTGGTACTACTGTAAATGATATTTCAAAATATTTTAAATATATTTTAGTATCTCCCTGTCTTTTAACACTCGGTTTTGCCTTTTCAGTCAGAAACAGGGTACATAAAATACATGCTTGGGCGGCGCCTGTGCCTCAAAGGAGTAGGGCGCCGGCCCCATGATGGAGGTGCAGGTTCAAACCCAGCCCCGGCCCAAAACTGAAAACAAACAAACAAAAGAACAACAACAAAAAACATGCTTTCTCTACACGGTTTAAAGAAGTGCAAATACACCCAGAGGGGGCTTCCCGCGGCTCCACAGTGGAGAACCAGCTGTCCTGAGGACTTACGCAGAGGCCTCGTGGATTTCGGTTCCGTCGTAGACTCCGCATCCAGACAGTACCTGCGGGAGCAGTGGGAGCTGACCTAGGGTGGCCGAATTCAAGTGGCAGGCGATGACCTGGGGGGAGGGGGCAACTTGGGCGGCGGGAGCTGCCCCGGAGGAGCCGATCTGGGGAGGAGGGGCCGACGTAGGGCCGAGAAAGCCGACCAAAGAACTAGGGCCAACTCCGAGAGGCGGGGGGACGACGACGACTTTGAGGAAACGACTATAAGAGGAGGGAAGGCCTAGGGCGGAGGAAGCGGACGAAAGGAGAGGGCAGACCCCGGGCGGCGGGACGGCCCGCGCCCCTGCAGTCCACTCACCAAAGCGACCCTGGCTGCGGGTCGCGGCGCGGAGCCGTGAAGGGCGGCAGCGCGCTGGGCGGGCGTCCAGCTACAGGACAGCTGCGGCCGCAGGAGGCTGGGGAGTGACGCGAACGCGGAGGCCGCAGCCAGCCTCGACACCACCAGGACACCAGCGGCGGCCATGGCGGGAAGAACGGCAGGATCGGAAGGTCACACCAGTGCCACCGAGCCCGCCAGGCCACTAGAAGGCCCGCGCCTGCGCAGTCACCAGCGGCGCACGGGTCCGCCCACGGGCGGGGCTGCGCCTGCGCAGTAGCTGCTGCGCGTCAGGCACGGCGCCCGCCTACCGGTCGGTTACTCGACTGTCACCCACTCCAGACCGGAGGCCGGACGAGTCTCCTGCGCACCGACCGGGCCCCATTGGGGCCCGCGTCTGGTCGCCACGGTGGGCCCAGAGCATCCCTGCCCTGCAGACTTTCGGCGGCCAGCCGGTGCCCGTGCCCAGACTGAACCGCACTCTGGAGACAATGCCTCTGTACTGTCACCCTTGACTGACATGTCCTTGACGTAACGACGCTCCCTGAGGTAGTGTCACAGCCCCTGACGTTAACACCCACTGGACGTGATACTGCAGTGGGCACCAGTCCGTGTGAAGCCTTCCCGGGTAGCCCTTCCCCTTTCATGTCCTGCCACCTGTCCCTGCCATCCCCGCGAGACCACAGACCACCCACAGCTAAGGGTCGGTCTGGGCTGGAGGGCCAGGGGCACCCACCACTCAGCATGTGGCCCCGGTCACCGCCAGGCGGGCTGGGTATCGGGTGGCAACTGGACTGGCCAAGAGATGTGTGCTCCCACAACTCGGTCACTGCTGGAGATGCTGTCAGTGCCTGGCAGACTTTACTGACACAAGGGTATGGATGGCGACACATCTCAAGGCTTCTGACACAGTGGAGTGGAGCGACAGCAGGATGTCATCCCCAGGCTCCAGGCTTCACCGCTGCTGCGCCTTGTCCCCTCAGCACATCTGGGTAGTCAGCTGGCCAGAGTGATGGGTACTACCAGACACCAAAGGCCCCCTCCCAACAGAAAATGGCAGATGCACAGGTGCCCGGGGCTGGGGAGGATCTAGCTCTGCTAGAGCTCCAGGCACAGGCTTCTTTGGTCACCCAGAAACACCTGCCCAACTGCCTGTTACCCACCATGCATTGTGGCAATTAAGGGGCTGATGAGGGTAACTCTGGACGCCCAGGAATGGTGGTGAAGCTCAAGATTCCTCTTCTGGTCTGTTACACATGGGACACTGCATAGGGACAAGATACCTAGAGCCTCAGCTCTGCAAACAGCCCAGGTCTTCAGGCCTCCAAGCAGGAAGGGTAACCATGCTTGAGCAGAGTGCTCCTGGGTTACAGGGCCTGAGTTTCACACCACGGGGCTGCCAGCACACCAATCCACTGCCCCAGTAAGCAAGAGACAGTTGGTAAGGCGCAGGGTGTGTGGGTCACCAGGCTGGCCGACAGATGACACTTGTGCATGGTGTCAGTGAAGCACTGCACTGGGTCTCCCCTGTCCTGACTCTAGAGCTGCTGCCAAGGAGCTGTGGGGATCAGGCACCCTTCCCAAGGACACTGCAGGGCACAGGGGCCATCCAGTCTTCTGGTGGCCCCTGCTGAGCAGCCTACCAGGAGGGAGACAGCCCCAGCAGCCCCACCAGAAGTGAGACAGTGGAGTAAGTGGTACCTGCACTCCACCCTGACAACATACAGGTTATGATGGCAGGGAGCCAGCTGGACCCCAGGACAACCCTGCCCTGCTCACCTGGCTCCCAGATGAAAGCACTGGGAGGAGAAAGGTCCTGATGACATCAGGACACACAGTGGTTTTGATTCAGAGTTTAGATTTCACCCTAACATTTTAGAAAACCATGTCTTTCTTATCCCTAAGTTCTTCATCAAAACATTTTATTAAAAATATAAATAACTCCCATCACAAAGTATATGTGAACCCATTTACCACTCTGAGAGCTGTTTTTAACAGCAGATGTTTCGTCATTTGTTACTATTCATATTGCCCAGGGCTCCTGGGCCCCATGTGCCAGCCCCGGTCATCAGCTGTTAACCATCAAACAGGTTCCTGACAGGCCACTTGGTTAGTTCTTATAAAAAAAAGTCACTGGTGACAGTATTTCCGCTGTTTCCTGGATCCCTTCCCATTTCCTGGCCCAGGGGGCACAATGGTTCCATCTGTTCAGTGGGTCTTAACCCAAATACCCAGATGATGCAACGCAGCTCTGTCCCAGCTTCACTTCGCCTTAGTCCCTGCCCCCTGCTCCAAGCAGATAAAGACTGTCATCCTCAGAGGCTTCTGCTTCCTCCTCACTTGCCAGCGGTTCCAAGGAGCGTTTCATGCCTCGTTGTTTGGAAACTGCCAGAGCGTACTGAAGGTTATAGCGGTTCCAGTCACAGCTGTTAACATGGGGATCAGGTCAGCACAAGCAACAGCTGTTTTCTAGTCCAAGAACCCCAGCCCAACTTGCACCCAGTCACCTTCTCTGTAACCCCAAGAGTCCAGTGTGGACTGCACTTGCCCCTACCACCCTGGCTACTCTTGGCCCTCCTGGCATGGGAGCAGCCCTGGCCTTCAAAGACCCAGTTGTAAACCCCCCTTCTGGCCCATCCTCCAACCCAGGCCCCCGCTGGGCCAGCCCAGAGGGCTTTGCAGCAAATTTCACCCAACACTGCAGGGATAGACCCCCGCAGAGCTTTAGGGTTATTCTGGAGGAGGGCGCTCTCAGGATAAGTTAATTCCCCACAATAACAGAATAAAAGTCACATCATTTCATGTAGACAACAATAGTAGAGTTGAAAGGAGAAAGGATCAGAGGGAAGGAGGCAGCACACACACTGTCTGCAGATGACGGGCTGCTTGTGCAAGACACCTCCCCAGTGGTAAAGTCAGCTGCTTCCCTCCGGGAGGCAATACATTTATACTAACCCCCAAAACCATCAAATAGCAAAGAATAACTAACAGGAGTAGACCTCTACAGAGCTCAGCACAGCAGACCACAGGGCAGGACAACCCTTACTATAGCCCCAACCTTCCTACAGCCAGAAAACTTGGGAAGAAAGGCATAAATGAGGAGGATGGGCTCACTTCATTCTCAGGCTTATTATAAAGACAAGGGACCAGTGCAAGGACAGATGGGTGGATCACGACCAGTGCAAGGGCAGATGGTGGACCAAGCAGAGAAGAGACCTATCAGCAGTGAAGATGGGACACCTGGCCAGTGATCAGTGACAGAGGAAGGGAAGACCTCCCTCGAAAGGCCACTATAAGGCCACTATAGTCCAGGCACTGCTGGGACTATAAGGGAGGGAGATTTGCAGAGAACAAAGTGCAGGACCACAAAAGACTGGGTGGGGGGGGTGCTGGGGACTCTTGCAGAGCATCTGCGGTGGGCAGCCACTGTCCTAGACCCTTAGGTATAATCTGTTTTCATTATCACCCCCATTTTCCTACTGGCTCAGAGCCGCAACATCCCCACAAGTCCAGGCTATCTGGCTACCCATGCAAGTGACACGCAAATCTGGGAAAGACTGCCTTTCTGTCCTAAGGATGTGACACATCCCCCTGTGAGGTTGGACGTTTCTAGCCACACCTGAGCTCACCTAACTGCTACAGTCCTCATTCCTCACCCTTAGCACCAGGCCACACTCAAAGCCAGTCAACCTCGAATCCCGCCTGTGGGTGGCCAGCCAGGTCCCATTCACAGCAGGTGAGAGGACAAGCAGCTCCAACACTAGAACCTTTTGTCCTCAAATCAGATGACACGGAGCATTCCCTGGGGGAAACCCATAGAAGACAGTGCAACCCCTGCCCTGCCAACCGAGCCAGCAGCACATACAGTTTGGAGACGTCGTCCAAGTGCCGCTGGATGCTTTTCTGAAGGAACTGAATCACAGGTAGCAACTTCCCAGCTCTGAAAAGGAGACGCCCCTTAGTGTGCAGTAGTCACCAGAATGTGATACTGGCCTCATTTCACATTGTATTTGCATGTGTAGTTTCCCTTTTTATCTACCAAGACCAGCTGGTCAAGTGACAAGAATCACAAGTGAACAGTAGTGAAACTCGCTTACCTGGACTTCAACTTCTGTCCGTGCAACATGAGCAATTTCTGAGTCCATATCAAGTAGAACTCAAGGTGACGAGACACTTCAAAGGAAGAAGCTAAAAATTCAAGCACCTTGTCTACATACAATTCAGGAAGGGAGGAGCTGACAACTTCAACTGTAAGAACGAAAAAAAAATGCTTATTTTATAATAAATGAAAATTAGGAGAAGAACACAGACACCTCCTGCCCTTCTGCATTTGCAAGGAACCCCACAGACCCAAGGTTCCCCCCAGTGCCCTGATGCTCACTCTCCTCCCTGGGCACCGACTCCAGGGCCTCCCGCATCAGCTTGCTCTCATTGAGCCGGAAGGCCATGAGGATGGCCCTGGTGAACTCCTGCTGGCGCAGGGCCTCGCGCACCCGCCCTGGGGTGATGCTGGTGTCCAGCTCAAAGGGGTCAAAGAGCATCTGGGTGTCCAGGGAGTAGATGAGGAGTCCCTCTGTGGTGGTGGCAGCCCAGCAGCGTCCTGGGGAACGGTAAAGTAGTTTCCTAAAAATTGAAGTTCATCCCCCATCCCCACATTTTCTTTTAAAAAAAGGTATTGAATCCATTCCTGTGTTCCAAAATGCAGAAGTACAAAGGAAAGCTGGGACACTGTCCTTTTGCCCCAACCAGCACCCTCTGGAAGGGACCAAGTGGGTGACCCTTGCAGGTACTAGTTTATGCACAGGAGCAAACAAAAACTTTGAGCATTTTCGCTGCCCCTCACATCGGGAGCAGGCAACTTTTCTCTAAAGAGCAAACATTTTGGGGCTGCTATATGCCAGGGATGAGCTATGCCAACAAACAGATGCGGCAGTACCCAAGCAAACTTCAGGGACGAGGACAAGGGGTTGGCAGAATCTAGTCCTTGGGCCATGGTGTGTAGACCCACAGTTCACACGCAGCAGCACACAAGAGCTCTTCTGCACCTTGCTCCTTCCATTCCGCCTACGCTGCTCAAAGTGTCTAACAGAAAACCCACTGCCCTGCTCCTGTGTGGGACCCACATGCACCTGATAGGCCCTGAGTGATGGTGGAGCTACGAGGAGGCCCCCCTGCCCCAGACAGGCTGGCCCAGCACCGCATGAAGGGCGCTCAGCGCTGGGCCGGCCTCGCGCCAAAGGTCAGTGCTATCATAACCATTGTTTTTAGGAAAAAGGGCCACCAAGTGGCAAGCAGGGTTCACAGTGTCCCCTTCTCACCACACAGAACAGCACGGCCCAGAGCCTGCTGGCAGCTCCACAACCAGCCTCTTTCCTGGGAACAGAGGCCCACTGTCCATCAGGACCAATGACCCCAACTCAGTGCTCACCAGTGGGGGAGAAGCGGAGGGAAGTCACCCTGATTTCTGGTTTAAAGTGCCGAGAACTCATGTCACCTGGGGAAAAAAGAATGAATCCATTACCAGCAGTCACTGGGCAGCACATTCAGGCTGCCTCCTGACGAGGCAGGCCACTCTGCAGGTCCTCCTTGCTGGGGCTGGATATGGAGCCTCGTCAAAAGCGGCAGCCTCTAGGTTGGGTGCAGAGGCTCATGCCTGTAATCCCAGCACTCTCAGAGGCTGAGGTAGGAGGATCGCTTGAGATTCCTGAGTTCAAGATCAGCCTGAGCAAGAGCAAAAGTCTCTACTAAAAATAGAAAAACTAGCCGGGCATCGTAGTAGATACATATACTCCCAGCTACTTGGGAGCTGAGGCAAGAGTTTAAGGTTGCTACAAGTGACAAAGTAAGACTCTGTCTCCATAAAAACAAAAAAGAGCAGCAGCCTCTGCTGCTCAGGGCCTGCACAGAGACCACTGGTTAGTGGGGCCTCAGGCTCCGACTTGGGGTGCTGCACCAGCAGACAGGTCCTTGGAGCAGAGGCTGGGAGGCATCCTGCCAGGCCAGCCCAGGGCCAGGACTCCCCACTGGTGGATGTTAGATCAGACTGTATACCAGTACCTGGATGGTCCCTGAGTCTTCCAGAACACTGGGCTTTCTACCCTTTCTCCCCATGGCACATGCACCCTTCAATCTCTGGGCTATAATACCTCAAACAGCAGGTCTCATCCCAGAATGTTCTTTGTACCCATGTGACACAGGAAGGGCCCAGCCAAGAAAAGGGAGGCCACCAGCAGCAACTCATGGGGAAGATTCTCCTGCCAGAGGGTCTGGTGGCATTGGCACCAACCCACTGGGTGTTCTCCAGACCCCCACCCACATGCAGCAAATATCATAACATAGTGATAACTACTGACTTCACAAGCTGCAGCCCCCAAGGACCAAGACCACAGTCACACAGGTAAAGTGGGGGCAGGCTGATGCAGAAGGGGCCTCACCCTTCCTGACGCCTGGCAGTGGTATCATGACTCCATCCTCCTGCCCAGCATCTTCATCAATTAGTGCCAGGTTGCCAAACTCTGTCATTTTTCTTCGGTTCAAAAATTCCTACAATAGCAAAGGACATTAAACCTCTGACAGGTGGCCCTGCCAACCTCTCCTTCCTATCCCTCCCTCACTCTTGCACCACCAACACTGGACCAATCCCCAACCCTATCTGGAATGAGCACGGGACACAGAAACCCTGAGAACATGAGGACAGACCCTGCAGAACCCACAGAAACATCCTCCAGACCTGCTGCAGCCAGGCTGGTGCAGAGGCCATGAAAGCAGAGCTGGGGACAGGATGCTTGCTCCCATCAGGGAAGCCTGTTGGGGACTTGGGGTGGCTGTTCCCTCAGGAAAATGCCAAAGATACTTCCCCTAGAAACATCCAAGGCCAGGGAGACCTTCTGGGCATGCTTAGCACCCTTTGGCCGTGACAGGGCCTGAACAAGTGGACCAAGGAAGCCACACACTTGCTCAGAGCCTTCCCCAGCTCCTGTACCATCACCCCGAGGTGCCATGGGAGCCAGACTGTGAAGCGGGGCCTAGGGTAGGGGTTGCACAGTAGGGACGATAGCCAGCCACGCCCACAAGGGCCCTTGCACCCTCTTAGCTTCCTGGCTTGTACTAGACACTTCCAGGCTCAGGCTCAGAGCAACCTGCCCAGGCAAGATCATCCTCCTGAAAGGCGAGGAAGGTGTCAGTCTCCATGGCCCTATGCAGAGACAGCTGGGGCAGCCCAGGCCTCCTGCTCACTCAGAGAAACAGCCTCACACACTTGCCCAAGAAACTTGCAGTGCTGCCAAGGCCCTGTGAGGCCCGAACACCATGCTGAGAAGCCCAACTTGCACTTGAAGCGACACTCAGCTGGCCCAATACCAGCAGCTCACCTCCATGGCATCCAGAGAGAGGTTGCAAGAGATCTCAAACTTCTTCATGAGAATCTGCTCCCGGACGTGGTAGATGCACACAAACTTGGACATGCCTCCCGCCAGGATGCTCTGGCCGTCCGCAGAGTAGCACAGGGTAGTAAAGGCCCTGAGGTGGAGAAGAGACACCAACTCAGAGTGCCTGCCAGGGCACTTTCAATGAATGGGATTTTGAAAAACAACCTGATGGGCAGTGCCTGTGGCTCAGTGAGTAGGGTGCCAGGCCCCATATACTGAGGGTGGCGGGTTTGAACAACAACAACAAAAAAACAGTTGAGTGTTGTGGCAGGTGCCTGTAGTCCCAGCTACTCGGGAGGCTGAGGCAAGAGAATCAGAGCCCAAGAGCTGGAGGTTGCTGTGAGCTGTGATGCCATAGCACTCTACCGACAGCGATAAAGACTCTGTCTCTAAAAAAGAAAAGAAAGAAAAACAACTTGACAAAATAGGAAAGGCCTCACACAAATATTCTAGAAGGCAAACACCCCCTTCCACCTTTCTCCAAGGCTCACTCACTGCCTAAACTCACATGGGAGACTTAAAACCCAGCACTTTGTATCATGGTGAGGAAAAAAGCCACTCTCAACAGCAGAAGCCTGCAGATGCTTCCGTTCCCAAAAGCACCAACCGGCTCAAATGGTATTTCCTGCTGACATCCCCACAAACCTGGCCAGCCCCGTGCACCCCCCTCAAGAGGCTGTACAAGCAGGCCCTCATCACCTGCTCCTCAGGCCAGGGCCTCGGGATGGCCCATGGGTTCTTAGAAAGGACACCAAAGAATAAGTGACAAAAGAAAAAATGGACAAACAGGACTTCAAGATAGCAACTCATAGCTACCAGAATGAACCTAATTAGAAACTGAAGGTATAAGTGCTGGAGCATGTGGATAAAGTGGAGCCTCACGTACCGCTTACAGCATGTGAGTGGTGCAGCTGCCGCTGCAAACGGCCTCCTAGTTCCTCAGAGTCAAACACAAAACTGCCCAGACCCAGCCTTGGGCTATCTACACCCACTGGACATCTGAGAACAGGTGTTCGTACCAACACTGAGAGTGAGTTCCATGTCTCCCTGTAGAGGAAGACCCTCCTCTGCTGAACAGGCTCTCCGGCTCCAAGCAAGGTCAGGCCCAGGCTCAAAGACACACCCATCCCAAGCAACACCCCCAGGTCCTGCCTCTCCTCCCAAATAGGGCCACTGCCCAGGACACATGCATGGCAGCTCAGCCAGGGCTCAGCACAGTCCGACAACTCCCTGCAGTGAGGGAACGCCTTTTGCCTTTGCTGTCCAACATGGTATTTGCTGGCCATGGGAGGGGACAGGCCACTCAGGAGGTGGCCTGAGGAGCTGAGATTTGACTCATAAGGTCACAGGTTCCAAAGGCTGCTTTTAGCTATAACCCCAAGCTGATGATGTCCCTGCTGTGACTGAGGGTTGGAATTAATTTGACCTTTCAGCTGGAGGAGTTTATGGTCAACAAAGTCAAATGGCCTCCAGTGATGGGAGATCAGGACTACCTGCCTTTACCCACTAGGACTCAGCAGTCTTAGGAACAAAGGACAAGGCCATAGAAGAGGAGCCTGCACATATCTGGCCACCAAGTCGGGTCTCAGATCCGGGAAGGGCCCAGAGCTGCCAAGCCCTGCAGGCTGACAGAAAGGGGCCCTGAGTGTCCATCCCCTGCCAGCCCCAGGGCTGACACTCACTTCCCCTTGGCCAAGTGTTTGGCTGTGACCTTGTCCAGCTCCTTCCTGCCTGTCTTGAGGTCGTGCCTGCCCTCAATGGAGCCCGTCTGCACAGCGTTCTCGGGGTCCCAGAAGGTGATCTGCGAGTTCAGCGTGGCCACAGCCAGCTCCGCACCATCAGGACGAAAGGTCACAGCCAGCGCTAAAGAGAAGCGTAAAATCAGCTGGAAGACAACCCCAGGCTCTGGTAGCCCTCAGCCAGCAAGCCAGGCTATGACCTGCCACCCCTACGAAACCAGACCCCCATCAGGTCTGGGTACACAATGAGCTCCTCTCAGGAGCAGTCTGAGCCAGGTAGGAGCAGCCCAGCACCAACAATAGCCACCTCTGTGGGTGAGGCTGTGCAGGAGGCACTGTGAGGCCCACGTGGGCCTGCAGGACTGGCTCCACTGAGGGAGGCCAGCCCAGCATGCAGGCCAGAGTGACAGGGGCACACCATGGTAAAGGTTATGCTGAGGGAAGATGCAGGGCAGACTACAGAGCCCCTGTAAAGACATAGTATGCTGTGCTGAAAGTCTGAACCAGCCCCGGTGGAGGCAGCGGGAAGCAGGGAATGTCAAAGAACCAGCAGCTCCTAGGCAGGTGGATGTCCTCCACAGCTGATAGGTTAGGCTTCGGGAGCCATAAGGCCGTTCTGCTTCGACACCGCAGTGTGATGGCAACCACGGCCAACATCTCATGGGTGCCCAGACTGCGCCCCAGGAGAACTGTATCACCAGACAGCGCCATGGTTTGGTGATCTCTGGCCCAGGGGCAGTGATGAGGGAAAGCCAGAAGCCCAGCCTCAAGACAGGGGGTATGGGCCAGCCACATCATCTTGTCCTCCTCCTAGCAGCCCAAGAGTGATAAGTAAACTCAAAGGCTCTTCACCAAACAGCAGGCAGCCAGCCAGAGCTGTCCTCTCCCTGCTGGGCCCATTCTCTGGCAGGATGTGAGCCCCACTAAGACTCATGAGGGTCCTTTCCAGGGCTCCCAGCCTTGCAGAAGTGACACCAGGTTGACCCGCCACCAAGTCTGCTCTAGCTCCTGATTACTGCCAGCCTGCAGGGCTGCCACACGCCAGTGGCTCTGGGCTCCATCCACTGGGTTCATATCACACCACAAATGAACGAGGTGGAGGAGGGATACAAGAAACCAGAACCCTGCTCCTGGATCACGGTTTCCATCTGCTGACCCTGGCAGCTCACCGTCTGAGGTCAGGGCCAGCGTCTCCTTGGTCCTCCAGCTGTCAAACATATCCCACAGGCGCACTGTCTTATCCCAGGAGGCACTGGCCAGGATGGACTTCATCGGGTTAAAACACAAACCACTGACAGGCCCCTCATGGCCAGACAAAACCTACAGAGAAGCAGCAGTAGAAGGTCTGAGACAGAGACACAGCCAGCGCAGCCCTCTGGGAAGGACAGTGTCGCTGTCTTGTGAGGGGACTGAGGAGAGGCATCACGGAAGGGGCTCCCTGCTCTGCTCTCAAGAGAGCTGAGAGGGCCCCATCCCCTAGCCTAGTCCTGCCTGAGCACAGCCCCAAGGGATGCGTGGGCTCTTACATCAAGGAGCCTCCCTGTCTGCATGGACCACACGAAGATCTCGAAGGAGTCCTGGGCCCCAGCAGAGACGATCTCCCCACTGGAGTCCACAGCCACGCAGGAGAATTGTGTGGGGCGTGGAGATGTGAACGTGCGGAAGTTCCGGTACCTGCCAGAACAAAGCCAGGTCAACATCCTGGACCAAAGTCTCCCACGCCTCCCAGAGCTAGGCAGCCTGAACCCCCACCCAGCTGCTAGAGGTCTACTCTGGGAGACTAAGAACAAAGATGTCACCTGTGAAGGTCGAAGGCTCGCACAGTCCCATCCATGGATGAAGTCACAACGACATAGCCTGTGGTTGTAAAGGTCACGCCAGTGACCCCACTCGAGTGTTCCGTGAAAGTGACAAAGCAGAAGCCACTGAAGGTGTTCCACACCTTGACCTGCGGCAGGAGCCTGTGAGGGGCGGTCAGGCAAACCTGGCCCTATGCCCACGTCCACCCTGGCCTATTCAGCTTCACTCACAGGTCATAAAGCCTCTTCATGTCACCTCCAGATATAGGAGGACAGACTGAGGGTGGGTGGGCAGTGCCAAAGGGCCTAAGGTCCAAGTGGCCACTGGCACCACAGACCCACTCTCAGCTACACAGGTACAAAGAAGAGACCAAATTGGAGATAGGGCTGAACAGACACCCAAAGCCTCTGATCAAACTCAGGTTTCCAAATGTCTTCTCAGAAGCCCGCACCAGACTGCATGAGCCCCTGAGCTCTAGGCCAGCCCACGCAGCCCAGAACGACCCAGCATGACTGCGTGTTCTTAGCCCCTGTGCCCTGAGGCCAACAGGACAGAAGCCTACCTTGCCATCGTCCCCGCCAGTCACAAGGTACTGCCCGTCGGGGGAATAGGCCAGGGACACCATGCTGTTGAAGTGGCCCTGTTGCTTGAGCACGTAGGACTCGCTCTGCCACTCCCACACCAGCAGCTGGCCCAGGCCTATGGGCACATGGGGGCTGGGGCAGCCATTCATAGCACCCCACCCGGTGGACAAGGGGCCCAGCCCACCTTCCCATTTGTGACAGGCCCGAGGAGAGAGCCACAGGGAGGGGCTGGGAGGAGAACAAGGGCCTAGGGGCAGAGGACAGGCATGCTGGCTGTGAGGGCTCTCTGCCAGCCTGTCCTGGGCCCTGCCCAAAGCCAACAGTGGGACTGCCCGCCACAGCTGAAGCAGTTGCTGTGACCTAGCCCTTCTTAGGGAGGGTCCAAGGGTCGAGAGGCTGCCCAGGCAGGCAGCTGCAGTACAGGCCCAGGTCTGAGGACAGGTATACAGAGACCAAGGCCGAGTGCTCACTCAGGGAACTGACAGAGACTAAAACTCACAGAACAACAGCACTCAAGGCTCACAGCAGCAACTGTCCTGTAAGCCCCCAGCAAGCCTGCCTGGGTCTGCCTGGACTAGGCCCTAAGAAGCTGACACTCTGGGGGCACCAGCTGTCTAGGCTAGCAAGCACCATCTTAGGCTTGGCACCAGTGGGCCTCAGGGTCTGTTCTGGCAGCAGCCCAGGTCATTGCCCCGAGGTGCGGCCTCAGGCAGGCTCTCTCAAGGAGTCCTATCCCGGGCACGATGACAAACCTGAGCAGCCAAAGGCGATCCAGTCCCCAGAGCTGTTGATGGCGACCGAGGAGATCCTCTGATCTGAGATGCTGTGTGACAAGGCCAGCGCGTGAGCAGGAGCAGCTGGCCCCCAGGCCCATGCAAGACAGCCCGCAACAACCCCACCTCTTGGGTATCCCACTAGTATCCTGCACTTAGAAACGTGAAGCTTCAAGATTTCTTAAAGCTAGTATTTTGATTCCCTCTGATTCCAAAGATAAAAGAATGTAAGATAAAAGAACGAACAAATCAAAAGGACATGATCCACCTGAGACCACAGGGCAGCAGCATCGAGTTTCACTCTAATCCACGGTCACACCGCCCAGAACCAGTGTCCCGGTGGCTCAGTCCTCCACCCACCTGCTTCTGGGCTGAGCAAGTGAGTAGAAACCACACCCCACAGCAGAGGCTTACTTACCTCAGGGAATGGATGAGGTTGAACTCAGGGAGCTCGTGAAGATGGAAGATACCAGAAGCAAAACCAGTCACTAAGAGGTGAATCTTCTTGTGATAGGCCGCAGCTGTCAGGTTGTTAAAATCTCCTTCTTTATTAAAGAAGTATCTAAATTAACGGGAAGATGGAAGAGCCATGGAAGGGAGCAGAGCCAGGCTCGTCCACTCTGCTCTTCTCAGTCTAGACACTGGGCACAGGCTGCAGCTCCAGGCCACCAGGCCAAGTACCCAGGCCCCCCAGACAGCACCTGCCGCTGCCCACCTTGCTCCAGGCCTGCACACACGGCTCAGTCTTGAGCGGAGGACCACAAGCATAACTCAGAGGGTCTCCACCCCACCCAAAGACCCTAAGCCAGAGGCTGTCCAGGTATCTGGAAGGAGCAAGGCCTGCAGGGATAGGATGGGGCAGTACCATCAGGAAAGCCCAGGGCCCTGCCAGATCCCACGACTTCCTGCATCCTCCTCTAGTGGATCCTGGGTCCCCATCAGCAGATGGTGGTGACCCTACAGCACTTCCACCTTTAAACTCGCCGAAGTGTCCTCCCCCAGCCTCCTGCTGAGCAAAGTTCTGCCCTGGTCCTTCCTTCCTTCTCACGTCCCAGTCCCTCTTGAACAAGTAACAGGTGACCACTCTCCGCTAACGAAGGTGGTGAGTACTCCCTCTTCCTGGAACCTGTTCAGCTGCCCTTTCAGGGGACCCCTTCGGTTCCTGTTCAAGGCCTGACTCTGAACAGAATGCTATACGTGGGCACTGGCCTCTCAGAACACTACAGGTGGGCACCTGGGCTCTCAGAACACTGCAGCTGGGCACCTGGCCTCTCAGGTGAAGCACTATCCTCCCACTAGGGCCCAACCAACCCTCCTTGCTCCTTGAACTCAGGGAACCGACCACCCTCACACCTGCCTCCCATTATGTCTGCTGGCCCTGGCACACCCCAAATCTAGCCCACTCCGGCTGTCTGGACTCCCTTCCTTCCATCTAGCCCTTCTCCAAGGCTTAGGTCCCCTCCAGAAGCAGGATTCCTAGAGCCCACCCCTCTCCGCCCACACATACCTGGGCGCTCTCCGTCCACTCTCCATGAACGTCCCTCTCTCAATGTCTCCCCCCACTCCTCACACTATCATGGCAGTAGTGCCCACCGTACATCCCCCACAAGGCCAAGGGACTCTCACCCATACCAAACACCACAGGGGCTGGTGGAGAATAAGGTGCTACCCCATCTCTGTCACTAAGTACCCAAATGCCTCCCTGGCTCCTGCGCCACTGGGCAGACAGACCCACAGTGGGTCTCTGGGTTACCAACTAGTGCGATACCCATGCACCAAGCGCTCTCAAACCTGGACCCAGAGATATGGACCCGTTCTCTGAACCTCCTGGTTCTCGACCCTGGAAACCCCACAATTGGGCCCCTCTCCTCTGGGCAGGAGACCCTCATAGGAACAGCACACCAAGCCCCCCACCACTGCCTTCCCAGAGGAGGACCTACTTGGCCAGCCGCGAGTACTTCACTTTTCCTTTCTTCTCCTCCTCTGCTGGCGTGGCTTTCCCCTGGACAGTGGTCTCTCTGTCCCTGTCCTCCTCTTCCTCCTCCTCCTCCTCCTTCCGCTGCAGCAGGTCAGCCTTCCAGCCTGAGGGAGCTTTCAGCTTTAGGTCCTCAGGGGCTGTGTCACACTGCCACACACATAGGACTCCGTCCTGGCTGAGTGAATACAGCTGCAAAGAAAACACAGGTCAGCCTGGCCCCAGCCGGCCACAGTCTGCCACCCCCTAGAGCCCTCTGCAGCTCATCTACCAGGTGCCTATTATCCTAAAAGTCCCTCTGGACTGGGGAGAAGTAATTCTAATGGTCAGCCCCAGCCTCCCCACTCCCAGCAACCTGAGAGTGGCCTCTAGGATGCACAGGGAAGAGGGGTCATACGGTCTCACCCCCAGGCCTCAGAGGACTCCCCTGACTCCTCACATGTGAGGGCCACTGGGCTACAGATCAGGGCATAGGGACATACGTCCAGGCTGCTGGATTCAAAGAAGCAGGCTACGATGGCATCCTTGTGCCCTCCCAGTGCATAGTAGATGAGGTTGTCCCAGCGCTCAGCTCCAAACACCCAGGTGGACATGTCCTTGCTCCCAATCACAAAGCACCTGAAAAGACAGCACCTGCTCAGGGCTTGTCCATGAGAGTGACACAGCCAGCGTCTGCTCTCCAGGGCGAGGCACAGAGATCCTTTTACCCCTGGTTAGGCCTACAGGTGAGTGCTGGGAGGCTGCCAAACAAAGGGATGACCCTAGCCTGCCTCTCATGGTGGGATGTCAGCCGTATCACCCATCATGCCTTCTTCAGCCTCCCAGATGCAGCTTGAGACCTCAGCCACAGCACATTCTATTCATGGTGCCAAGTCAAACAGATGGGACTCAGATGTGCACAGCAGGCTGAAGAATGGCTGACAGAAAACCAGCAACTTTGCAAGTGCCCTAGGGCTGCAGCCCCAAAGATGTAGGCCTGCTAGGAACTGGGCCGCAGAGCTCCAAGAACCCCCCTCCCAAGAAAAATTGTCTTCCACCAAACTTAGTAAGCTGAACACACAGCAAGAGGTGAGTAGCTGGTGAATAAGCAAAGCTTCAGCTTCATTTGTGTTTACAGGCACTTCCCAGCACTCAAGCATCACCGCCTGAACTTAATCTCTCCCCACATCTGTGCAAATTGTCTCCCATGAAACCAGTCTTGGGAGCCCAAAAGTTTGGGGACCACTGCCTTAGGGGACAGGGCCGGCTATGGGACATGCTTTCGTGGGGGACACAATTCTCCACATGCTCACACCTCTCCCGACCGACTACACCAGCCTCACTAGTGATGATTCTCATTTCTCATCCAGGTCTCGGCTTTGTTCTCTGGTTTCCAGTGACAAACATCAGTGCAGTGTAGACCTACCCCAGAACCCACCAACGAGGCCCAAAATGGCCACATACAAACAAGTCTGAGACATTTCTAAAGGAAACTTCAGGACCCAAAGTAGGGAGGACCCATTGTTTTCTTAGGATAGACAAGTGCAAGGCGGCCCTCAGCTCGGCCCAGTGTGCCGCGCCCTACCTGGAGTCATCAGTCCAGTCAATGCATGTGGTCTCATCATATGGCCCGAAGTACGTTTTATCCAGAACGAATGCATTGAATTCTCGCTTCTTCCCAGGGGCATGGTACATCTGAGCAATGTTGCCCTTTGTAACAACAAATTTCCTACCAAAGAAAGCAGACCAGAGTCGATATTCAAGACCAGCAACAGCCCTAGGACCACCACAGAGCCTGAAGATGCCAGCTCAGCCTGGGGCCCCCCGGGCTGCCCTGAGCCCCACCTCTGCTGCAGGACAGAGGCCGAGGAACAGAGAAAGAGAGAGAAGATGGGAGAAATAGATGCCAAGGGTACCCAGGCCACACGGGGCCTTCTGCTCTGGAAAGGAGGCCACCAGTACCAGAGAGGCCAGTCCCTGCTCCCAATATAACCGCCCTGAGTCCCACTGGGAGAAGCTGGGAGGTCAGTCTCAAGGCAGCTGCTCACCAGGCTTCCTCCCACCCAGGCAAACCCCACATACCTGCCATCAGGGGAGAAGGAGACGCTGTGCACAGAGCCCTTGAAGTGGAAGTGGTGTAGCACGGACCTGCATGCCAGGCTGACCAGCACCGCACTGCCCCCTGCAGGAGGCCAGAGGTAACAACCATGCAACCCTGATCACCCAAGCCGCAGCACACCCGCCTCCCCAGCAGGCATCCACTTTAAGCCACCAAGCCTCTAGAATGCCCTGTAACCATACACAGTGCAGGGAAGATGAAACCTCACCGGGCACACCTTTATCCCCACACGGAAGCCAAAGAAGAATAAACATGTTGGCGCTAGACTGCCACTCTGGGGCCCCCAAGCCCATCCTCTGCCCTTCCCCTCAGCCCCCCACCCACACCAGAAGCAAGCACCTTCATCGACGATGATGGCGAGGTGGCCGTCCGGAGACAGCCCCACACACTTGATGTTGTACCGAGTGGCCAAGGGCAGTGTGTCCGATTTGTTGCTAAGAAAAATAAAAAACCATAGTACACAGGAGGTCCCTGAGCCACAGGACAAAAGGACAGGGCTGGCCTGGGACCAGCAGCCTATCCTTCCCACACAGCACCCTCTAGTCCCACTGGACCCCATGAGCCAGGGCTCATCTCTTAATGCTAACTCCCCAAAAGAAAAGGAAAGGACATCATCCCTCAGAGAAATCTGACAAAATGTATCAACAGCCTTAAAAATGGGCTTTGTATTCATATGTTTTGCTTCCAAGACTTTATCCCAAGAATAATGTCAAAAAAACAGAGACAACATCCAACAATAGAGACTGTTTTTGCACAAGGACAGCACATCCCTGTAAAGCTGTTTCGGAACAAATAGAGGCTGGACAAGGTGCTCATGCCTGTAATCCCAGCACTATGGGAGGCTGAGCCGGGAGGATCACTTAAGGTCAGGAGTTTGAGACCAGCCTGGGCAAAATAGTCAGACCCCTGTATCTACAAAAAATGAAAAAAAATAAGCCAGGCATGGTGGCAAGTGCCTTAAGTCTTAGTCACTTGAGAGGCTGAGGCAGGAGAATCTCCTGAGCCCAGAAGTTTGAGGCTGCAGTGAGCTGTGATGAGACCGTGGCACTCTATCAGAAAAAAAAAAAAACCCTCAAGAACCTACTGCTTCTGGCTTCAGACTTTTATTCTGCAGCTTCCTCACCTCTGTTGAGCCTTTGTAGAATTAAAGAGAGTCAGGGCCTTCCTCTGAATTAGCCTTTAGCTTAAAGGAACACTGTGAGTTGCCTCCTTAGCACAGTAGGCAGAGTGTCAGTCTCATAAAGGAACACTGTGGCTGGGTCGATCCTCTGTCCAGACCACTAAAACTCTGCCCACCAGTAATAAGTTTATTTCATTTCCTTATCACTCATGTTTCACTGGAGCACTTGTGATTTCCTTTGCTGTCACATTCAGTAACAATCTGGCTGAATGTTCAGTGCAGGAAACCAGCTTTCAGTCCACCTCAGCGTCCCAAGGGCCTTCCTCACTAAGCGTGATCATTTCTAGCTTTGAATTTAAAGCTGACTCTTCCTTTCACTTGAACATCTGAAGCTCATTATAGGGTTATTAATTGGCCTAATTTAAATATCACTGTCTAAGAGGGCAGGGAGGCCCAGGAGAGGGAGAGAGAGATGAAGGAATGGCCAGTTTGTAGAAACAGAACACACGTGATTAAGTTTGCCATCTTATGTGAGTGTGGTCTGTGGTGCCTCAGAATGATTATAATGGTAACACCAAAACTCCCTGATCAAAAATTACCATAAGTGATAGTGTTAAAAAAAAAAAAAAAGTCTGTAGCAGGGTAATGTGGTAGGCACCAGTAATCCCAGTTATTCAGAAAGCTGAGGCAAGAGGACCACTTGAGTCCAGGAGTTTGGGGTTGCTGTGAGCTGTGACACTAGAGAGTGACACTCTGTCTCCATTTAAAAAAAAAAAAGTCTGAAATATTACAAGAATTACCAAAACGGGACAAAGTGAGCACATGCTGTTGAAAAGTGGATAGACTTGTTTGACACAAACCTTCAACACATAATACACAGTATCTGTGAAACACAATAAAACAGGGTGCAATAAAACCTCTAAATGTATAGAATTAGGTCCTAATTTCACTAATACAGTAAAACTTCTGACACTGACCCAAGGGACTATAACAAACTGGTCAACACACGGAGGTGGTCACCATGAGGAACTTCCCCTGAGTACATGTAGTGCATGTTCTGTCTACGAAAACAGGCCAACTTAAGGAGGTGGTCAGTATAGACAAGTGGCCAACTGCATTTTATTTTCCAAGTTTTCTTCAGTGGACTTGTGGTTGTTACTCTGAAGAGCTGTTAAACAGTCTTTAAACAAAGTGATAACAGTGACTCCACAGCAGCCAACCTCATAGGGAAGCTGCAGAGCAGCTGCTGCTACTGTCTCGCCTTCCAGACAGGGAAACCGGGGGCCAGGGCCACCGGGGGTGGGGGGAGCTACGAAGCAAGGCCAGGCAGCAACACAGGGACCTCACCCACCCTACAAGAAGGAGGGGTCAGCCCATGGCCTTCCCAACAAGTCTGGGAAGGAGTCCTTACCCTTGAGAAGACAAGAAGGGAACTATGTGCTTCATTGTAAAAGTGCTAAACCTGAGCAGCCAGAATTGATTTCCAGCTGCAAAACTAGAAGCTTTGGGCCTGCCGGTGTCTAGGGCAGCTTCCAGCACACCTGGCCTCGGCCCTCAGAGGCCTTCCCCAGTGGGGGAAGTGCCAACTCTGGGCCCTCTGTTCATTGTCCCATTTCCACACAGGAGAGATGGGTCCCTCTTTAAGTAAAAGCCAACTGCCACAGGATTTTTACCTTTAAGGATAACACCAATGAGCTAGATGCACGGGCTGTTGCCGAGGCCCTAGGATGAAGAACTGGGCACAAGCCGCCAGTTCCACACTGACCTGCAGCCCTCTCAGGGTGCCTTAATTACTAGGTGAGAAAGACCCTGTCAGCTTTCACGTGGTACTTCAAAACATCCGTAGTGATTACCACTATTACTATCACTTTAGCATACTTACTTTTTTAGATCAAATATAGTGACTCTATTGCCCACAGGACTGATAACTGAATTTCCATCATATGTAAAATTCAAGTTTCCACGCCGATAAACTGTACCCAGCAAATTTGAAAACTGAAAAGAAAACAAAGCTACCTTAAAACAGAGTCTCAAGGCCAGCCTGTAATCTTAGCACTCTGGGAGGCCGAGGTGGGTGGAGCCCTGAGCTCAGGAGTTTGAGACCAGCCTGAGTCAGAGCAAGACCTCCTCTCCAAAACTAGCCTGGGCATTGTGGTAGGTGCCTATAGTCCCAGCTGCTTGGAAGGCTGAGGCAATAGAATCACTTGAGCCCAAGATTTTGAGGTTGCTGTGAGCTGTGATGTCACAGCACTCTACTGAGGGTGACAAAGTGAGATTCTCTCTAAAAAACACACACACACAGAGTCTCAACTCTCAGAAAAGGGTTAAATGAGGCATACTGGCAAAAAGCACCCACTTGGGAGTCCCCCTTCATCACTGGAACCCCTCCAGCCATCCTAGGACATTTCCTAGGCCAGAGAGGAAGAAATGAGCTCAATCCTCAGGGGACTCACAGAGCCTGGGGAACCTCAAGCTCCGACAAGGTGAGGAAGAGGCACCTGTGAGCACCGGGGAAGCCTCGGGAGACAGGAGGCCCTTGTCAGGTGAAGTTGGGACAGAACTCCTCAGGGAGGAGCTGAGAAGGAATTTAAGCAAAGGCCCAAAGAGATCTTAATCACTGCGGAGTGGATGAGGTACAAGCCCTGAGGGACTGGATCCGGTTTCTGGTTTGGTGTTGGGCCCATGACAGTGCCTTCACCAGGATGGGGGACACAGGAGAAGAGCACTTTATGGGACCAGTACGGCATTCAGTTCTGGCCAAGACAGGTCTAATGCCTAGATGGACCCCACAGCAGAGCTGATGATGCATTCCTAGAAGCTGAGACCCCTACAGAGGGAAGAACTGCCTGCAAGGGCGATGGGACATGCAAGTCTTGTGCAAAGCACCAGCCTTTCCAGGACAAGCCACGCTGTGCTTCTGAGATTCCCAGGTCCGCCCTAGCACTCCCTCCACCTCGTTAGTCTCACCGGTCCCCTCCTCACTACACATCTGGGACCACAGTCCCAGCCAGTTCTCAAGCCCTCATCACTTACCCACGAAGGTCGCCTTGCCGGCCTCGGGAGCTAAGGGGTCACACCGAAGATTCCCGCTGCTACGCTGCTCTGAACTCGCTGGGGCTGAGGCCCGAGGGCTAGCTCCTTCCCCTGCTCTCCTCTGCCCATCCTACCCAAGGCCAGGCCTGAGCCCGCGTCCTCATCCCTCCCGAAAACCACGCCGACCCCTCCCAGCAGGCTGGACCACCTCAGGTTAGAGACACTGCCCTTGCCAGGTATCTCGGCCCTCTGAGGAACCCTCGGGGTCCTGACCCGGCCCCCGGAACCTCCCCCAGCCCAGCCCGCCGGTGCCCAGCGTCCCGCACGCGCCCAAGTCCCCGGGGAGTGGACCATGGCGACCGCCGCTTGTACGGCTAGTATGCCCCAGCCAGCACTGCTAAACCAGGAGCCCGCGCCTACCATACCACCCCACTACCGCGCTCACCCGGTACGAGAACTTCATCGCAGCTGTTGCACGTGAGCGGCAGACAGAAGAACCTCCGGAGCGCGCTGCGCACCGGCACCCGCAGCCCGCACTTCCGGGGCAGGCCGAACAATGGCACCCAAGGAGCACACTTCCGGGACGAGATTGCGCCGTCTGCGCCCCCTACAGCCCCGACCAGCGGCACTGCACTCACCGGGCTGCGAGGTTGCAGTCTGAACACAAAGGCCCACCCCACCCAATCACGCCCCGAGGCGGAGCCTGAGCACTAAGGCCCGCCCCGCCCCTGGAGACCGCGCACGCGCGCCAGGCCTCGGTGGAGTGGTGAGGCTGGTTCGGCTAGTCACTGGCTGGATTGGCGGGGCGCCGAGAAGGCTGGAGGGTCCGGATGCTCGGACGGTCTTCCCCTAGACCGCCCTGATGTCTACTTATTTAATAGTTCTTGAAGACATCGAAAGGGGGCCGAAACAAACAGAGTCTGAAGGAAACTGAAAACTGGACTTTCGTGGAGATCTGTGGGCCGGGTCACCAAAGCCCAGGGCCGGCTCGCTGCCCAGTTGTCAAACCTTGTCACCGCTGAGCTGGCAAATAGAACGTCCCAAGGCCTGAAAGTCCTGAAAACGCAAATGCTTACTTCTTGTGAGCTACTGGGTAAGGAATCATGAAAAAAAATCCCTCCTGCTCCCCCAAAAGTAAGTAATCTCTGCCTCACGAGCGAGGATTAGGCATCTTTTAATGTTACACACTGAGTTTTCACACCGGGCCACAGCAAAAGAATCAAGTTCAAAACAGTTTTTTCTTAAAATGTGTATTTTCAGCATTATAATGCTTACATTTACAGTCTTAATACAGTGGTTTTAGTTTAACAGTATATTACAGAATAATGTGCAAAGACTTCTGATATTAAACATGAAAACGGAATACCTGCAGCATCAAAGTCACCAACTTGTCACCTTTTCCAGTTACAGAATCCCAACAAAATGTATGAGTGATGTTTTTGGGTCTTACAGCCTGACATGTAAGCTGAATAAATTAAGAGAAAGGGGCACGACCATGAAGAATAAAATTTAAAATCATGTAGGATTTACTTTTAAGATTACAGGTAAAAGTAAACGTAGATCAACCCAGTTCTTTTATAAAGTGGCATAATTTTTCATTTTATGTACAAACATGGAGTGTTTAACTTGATATTAATTAATTAATTTTGAGACAGAGTCTCTGTCACCCTGGGTAGAGAGAGTGCTATGGCGTCACAGTTCATAGCAACCTCAAACTCTTGGGTTCAAGCGATCCTCTTGCCTCAGCCTCCCCAGTAGTGGGACTACAGGCCCCCACCTGAGGCCCAGCTAGTTTTTCTATTTTTAGAGATGGGTCTCACTTTTGCTTAGTCTAGTCTCCTGAGCTCAGGTGATTCACCTGTCTCAGCCTTCCAGAATGCTAGGATTACAGGCATGAACTGCCTTACCTGGCCTTAACTTCATCTTTAAACATTACAGAAAAACTGAATAGAAGCCTTGTGTATATTTTGTCTACTAACTTTATGGGATATCTGTCCTCACTGAGGCTTACTATAAATACAGGAATCAGACCTTCCCTAGGCTGCGCTGACAATGAAACTATAGGTACAAGTCATTTTCAAATTAAATACAACAGTGTCCACATTTAAATCAGGAGAGTTACAATTTTTCCAATCATAGGGGACCCCATGAAATTCACAAAAATTATAACTTCTTTTCCGTTGGCTAGTATTTACATGTTCCACAGATGCTGTATAGCAGCCACATACTCTTTGCTCTTTAGGTACACGCACGCTGCATATCTGGCTGCACAAGTATTTTAACAGCTGCCATTTCTTGCTCAACAAAACCACCTTGCCTTGAACATATAAACCTTAGTTTGTTTAAAATGGTTGTTAGGGGCAGTGCCTGTGGCTCAAAGGAGCTGGCAGGTTCAAACCCAGCCTTGGCCAAAAACTACAAAAAAAAAAAAGCTTTAAACAATACAAGTCCAATTACAGCCTGTTATTCTTATGAATATAAAGAAAACCAATGACAAAATTTGGGAGGACGTTTTATCTTTTAAAAAGGTAGAAGCACTCGTGTAACTTAGTTTGCAAAAGATATTTTGGGGGATCAGGGAAAAAAGATTTTGTGCCAAATTCTATTTCAATTTCCAGACAGTAAGAAATCACCACAAACGCTTTGGATTTCTCCTTTTTCTTCTTTTAAATATTAATATATATGTCTTAGAAAATTTCATCCTGGACAGAGACTCCAGGTCAGTGGCTCTCAACCTTCCTAATGTTTCCTAATGCTGCGACCCTTTAATACAGTTCTTCATGTTGTGGTGGCCCCCAACCATAAAATTATTTTCATTGCTACTTCCTAACTATAATTTTGCTACTGAATTTTGTTATGAATCATAATGTAAATATCTGATATGCAGGATGTGTTTTCATTGTTACAAAGAGGTCGCGACCCACAGGTTAAGAACCGCTGCTCAAGATAAAAGAAAATCAAAGAGTAATAAACTGAACGTTTAACCACATTCCCCTTTAGAAGGTGAGAGAGGTGTGATGACCCATTGAGGAAATGTCTGTCCTCTTGGCTGATACCATGGATTAGAGCAGCAGTTCTCAACCTGTGGGTCGCAACCCGAGGCACTGTATTAAAGGGGCGTGGCATTAGGAAGGCTGAGAACTGCTGGATTAGAGGCTTTTATGACAGCTCAAATCCCAATCATCTCCTCATTCATAGGACTTGGCAGATCTGTAGGGCAATCATCAATTTTTATTTAAAAAACCCTTACCTTAGAGAACCTAAACTATCATTAAATTCTGAAGTTCTAATTTGCTAACTAGTTTGATCAAGTTTGTTAGATTTAAACTGCACATAAGATAATTTCTGAAAGTTAAATTAAACATTGAATCTTCTTTACATGTTTCTCCAATTTCTACAAATGAAAAAGACATGGGAGGAAGATCATAAACCTTTATTTACTGAGTGGGTAAAAGACAACATGAAGAATACTGGAAAGGGGGGCTCCAGACGTGCAGCCGCCTGCAGCCCCAGGAGCGCAGCCCTCACAGGAGCCAGCGCAGAGGCTCCTCCTCCTCTTTGTAGCTCTGGCCTCTGAGGTTACTCTCCTCACGTGAGTCCCACCCTCTGGGGGGCCTGCCCATGTCCACTTACATTAATCTTGTCAAGTTCAATTCGAAGCGCACTTTCCCAATGAATTAAGGGTACTCTATTTCATATGTACAAAAATACATTGCTTTGGAAGCTGGAAAAGGTTTAATACGTACAACACTTATTTACAAGCTGTGACTTTCACACCAGTAAAAACAAACTCACATTTATTTCTGACCTTGATTTTTGGTGCAACTTATACATAAACATTATATCAGTTAGTCTGTATTTTTAAAAATAATAAATCAACTATATGTACAATTAAATTTACAACCAAAAGCAAATTAATCCATTGGAACTACATGACTGCAACTGAGTGGCCCAGCAGAAGTTATTCTAGGACATGAGGCCTGCACTGCAACGAGACTGGAAACACTGAGAGGACCCCCCATCTTCATTTTAAATGGAACATTTTAATTTCTAAGAATTAAGGTGCAAATAAAATATGATTATATAGCTACAATTACATGGGAAGATTTTAAAGATAAGAGAAAAACAACATATTTACCCCCACATATATAATGATAATTAAATTAAATATATAGTTTACTTCTGAGTGCATGAGATATTCATTCAACATTATGGGGTCCAGAAACATTTAACCCTAAACTAGTTCAACGTGAGCTGTTCCCCAGGCCCTGGTCTAAGTCTTTCCTAAGTACCTTTACTTTGCTCCAGCGGATGGACCTCCAGGTCCGCCTCGCCCTGGCATCCCAAGGCACAGAAGGGGTTATGTTCCCTCTCCACCCCCCTCCCACCCCTACCCCTCCTAGGTGTTATTCTAGAAAAGCACAACTAGATGATAATGGGGTAAAGGATTGTGTTTTACCCCTTAGGAAACGCACAAATACACCCTGGTCCAAAAACTGGGCAGCCGTGTGACCACAAAGGCACACATATGTCTCAGAGAGGACTGCAAGGCCTGCTGAGTGTCCACCTGGAAGACAAGTGGCCTCCAGGAAGCGCCAGCAGGCGGCAGGCTGCTCAGAGGAGGGACGGTGGATGAGGACCTTTTATGAGCACTGAGTGAGCAGAAGGAAGCCAGGCTCTGAGCAGATAGTGCAGACACCAACACGGGGATGGGGTGAGAAAGTATGGAATCACAGACAACACAAGAGTAAGGAGAACTCAGCGGAGCAGCTGTGCAATGAATGACATTCTCTGAGGCCTAGTGGCCAGGCAGGATCACTGGAGTCTGGCTAGAGCCTGAAGAGAGGAGAATCTAGTCACCTTCCCTCAGAGCACAATCACAGCTGGGCAGCGGCATCTGCTCCCCAGGTGCTGTCATGTAACGCTGACTTCCAAGACATGGTCGTCTTGGCTGGGGATGACCAGGACTTGCATGCCAGTGCTCGAGTTGAAGACCTGGCCAGCCGGCAGCGCCTGCAGCCGGGGCATGGGCAGGCCTTTGTGCTCGCTGCTGGAGGCTGAGTGCATGCTGCCCCTGCTCTTCACACTGCTGCTGTCCAGCTGTTCATCCCCGTGCTTGTCCACTGACAGGCTGTCATTTTCTATCCAGCTATCTACAAAACACACAGGATGTCAGAACCAAGCCACGACACCAACCTGGAGAAAGGCAAAGCCACGATAGGCCCACTTCAAAGTGCAAGAGATGCTACTGAGGCATCCCACAGATCCCACACAGAGGGATGATGGGCCCTGAGCCTTCCCACCCAACACTCAGCTTTGGTGTTTGTTTCTGCTTACACTAAAGACATGCAATTCTTTCTCAAGCCTGCTCTGACATTAGTTTGTCATCTCTTGACACAAAGCAGGCTCCTATTCAAATATGAATTTATACTTTTTCTTTTTTTTAATTAGAGACAGAGTCTCACTTTGTTGCCCTCGGTAGAGTGCTGTGGCACCACAGCTCACAGCAATCTCCAGCTCCTGGGCTTAGGCGATTCTCTTGCCTCAGCCTCCCGAGTAGCTGGGACCACAGGTGCCCGCCACAACGCCCGGCTATTTTTATACTTTTTCTTAAAACATCCTTACCAGCATCCAGTTGACAGGAGTGTGCAGAATGATGGGGGAGGTACTTAAACAACCTGACGTCAGGCAAGGGGAGGTACCCCGCAAAGAGAGGCATCACTTCCATGTGGACTCTATGGGTGGCCTGAGCAGCCACTGGCATGGAGATGACACCACAACTTTTCCCACAGACTGCCCAGTTGCTACTGTTGTCGACCACTGCAACAAAGAGAAAGCAAGTGTGTTCCAAGAGCAAGTGAGTCATATAAAAGTAAGAACCATCATTAACCAACACTTAGACACTCCATAGTAGAGAATCCCAAACTGCAGAATATTTATCTCAGTGTCTTGCTATTGTGCCTTAAGATAAAACCCGTATGTTTTAATAAATAAGATGCATATTTCTTTTAGTCCAACATCCCATCAGGTCCAGTTTAGACTGAATCATGCTGGGTGTGTATGGAAAACTATATTTTTCTCTGAAGTTAATAAATTAAACATAATTTAATTTTGATTTGAAGTCTCTTTGAAAATTTCATGTGCCATTCTTCAAAAGTATAGTTACTATATGTATGGCCAGGGACAGTGGCTCATGCCTGTAATTCCAGCACTCTGGGAGGCTGAGGCAGGTGTTTGACCTGAGACCAGCCTGAGCAAGAATGAGACCCTGTTTCTAAAAATAGCTGGGCATTGTGGCAGCACCTGTGGTCCCAGCTACTTGGGAGCCTGAGGGAAGAGAATTGCTTGAGCCCAAGACTGCGGTTTCTGTGCCATGGCAGTCTACCCAGGGCAACAAAGTGAGGCTCTGTCTTAAATAAAATAAAATAAAATAAGTATGGTTAATTTGGCTATTAAATCAGGGATGGGTGACAATGCAGACTAAGTTGGGTCACCAAAGCCCTAATGGTTTGAATTCCAATCCTGCTGCCCAGACAAGGCCCTTGGGGCCTCCAGGCTTGGCTTCCCTGCAGTGAGATGAGAGCACCACTGACCCCGAGAAGCTGCTTTCTCAGGATGGAGAGAGAAGAGTGTACAGCATGTGGTACCTCTCCCGGGACAGCAGTCTGAACACCTGGCAGTGTCATTATGGGCCCTCATTGTTCAAATTCAGCCTTCATTTAATTCAAGGCAATTCACACAAGTAATGGAGCACTTACTAGGACCAGCTCTGGAGAGATGAAAGTGAGCAGGACGATGTCTTTGCCCTCAAGAAGCAGAAGACACAGCAAGAGGTCATAGGTCTGATGAGGATATACCATGCCATAGCTCAGGGAGTGTGTGACCAAAGGCCATGAGCAGCAGACAAGGGGTGGGGGGGGGTCCCAGAAGGCAGGCTCTGCGGTGAGAACTTTGGAGAAAAGTGGCACTATGGGACATGCAGAGCCCTGTGTGACAGGGTGACAGTGGTAGGAAGGCGATGCCAGACTGTGCACATAGTTATGTTGACCTCTCTCCATGCTCCTCACTATCATGAACTCACAGCAAAAAAATCAGTTTTACTTAAAAATGCTTCTCATGAAGCATTCAAAATTAATTTTATTAAATTCAACTCTTGAGTATATAACTTTTTTTAAATTTTAAAATGTTTACAGACTTATAAGAAATTGCAAAAATAGAAGAGAGGTCATCATCCAACTGTGCTATCCCACGTAGCACAGGAGATGTGTGGGGGCACTGTAATTAACAAGCCTGCACACGTTCCTGGGGGCTGGCCAGCTTTCTGGCAGGCACTCACCCTTGGGGTATGTCACATGTGTAGATGCCTGTAACCCCCAGGCACAGAGCTGCCCAGCACTACAGATGGCCTCCTGCTGCTTGCCCCACCCGCCCACTCCCAAGCAGGCACCACTGTCCCATTCTCCCTCTTTGTAAGGTTGATATTTTGAGGATGCCATACAGAATAGAATTGTATGGCACACAACCTGACAGGCCTGGCTTTTCCACTCCACGATCCATTCAAGCTGCTGCATTTATCAATAGTTCACTTGGTTCTAATGCTACCAGTTTGTTAAGCCAATCTACAACTGAAGAACATTCGGGCTATTTCCTATCTGTACTCATCATCATCTTTTTTTTTTTTTAAAGCAGGGTCTTGCTCTGTCACTCAGGCTGATCATAGGTCACTGTAACCTCAAACTCCTGGGCTCAAGTGATCCTCCTGCCTCAGCCTCCCAAGTAGCTGGGACTACAGGTGTGTGCCACCACACTCAGCTTATTTATTCCATTTTTTAAATAGAGATGGGCTCTTGCTATTTTACTCAGGCTGATCTGGAACTGAGATGGGCTCTTGCTATTTTACTCAGGCTGGTCTGGAACTGAGATGGGCTCTTGCTATTTTACTCAGGCTGGTCTGGAACTCCTGGCCTCAAGTGATCTTTCTGCCTCAGCCTCCCAGAGTGCTGGAATTATAGGCGTGCCACCACAACGTGACATTCTCTGTGTCCCCACTGTAGCATAAGACCAGACTCAGGGAGGTGCCTGCACGTACCCCATGCTGAACAAGTGCTGTTTTCATGGAACATTGTCTCCCTTGAAAGAATGACTGGCAGACTGAGGTTATCCAGTCTGGGTATGTAGCAGACATTTTGACGAAAATAAATGATGTGCACCTGTCACTCAAAGAAAACCACTAAAAGGATTTGCTGCCAATGATGGAATTTGAGACTCTAACCAAAAATCAGAATTTTGGAAAATTTGCACTTGCCACCGTGAACCTGACAAGGTCCCAATGCTCAAAGGCCTTTCTGAGAGATGAGTGTTTCACAGGTGGGGATTTGGACATTCTCAAACAGAAGGCGTTCACATATGGAAGATCTGTACAACACAGGGGACCCACATGCCCAGCTACAAGATGACAGTGGGTAGGGCCCACTCAGAATGCAGAGAGACCAAAGCCCTCAAAGACATGAGTCCCAGTCCACTCTTGTCATCAGACTTCACGACTCATCACGTGGTACAGTATAAGCAAGAGCATCTGTGGTTACCCACAAGCTGTTACCTCCCTCTTCCAACTCCAACCTGTATGAGCACCGAGTCCTCCACATACTGAAAACCAGTTTTAAAAATTCAGAAACCTGAATAAGCTAGATATTACAGAGATTTAAAGGGATAAGCTGGATATTGAAGAGATTTAAAAGCTAGATAAAGCTAGATTTAAGCTAGATATTAAAGAGATTTAAAAGACTGCAAAACAAAATCCTCTTCTCATTTTTTGTTTTGGAAAACTGTTATTTTTCATGAATAACGTCATGTGATAGATTTATTGGTGATGTTTTAACATACATTACATACATATTTGGCTCTTCAATCATTTTAGAGCAGAAAAAATCCCAAACCAAAAACTTAGAGAATGCCAGGCTAACACCTCAGAGGTTTTGGACAGAAGGGGAGTGCGAGGAGCCCATCTGTGTGCGCAGGGAGGCGTGGGCACCAGAGCCCTGGCTGTTGAGCAACGGAAATGAATTCTGCTTCAGAGTAACGGAAAGCTCCTGAATCACAAGCAGAGAGGAAAGGGCATCTCTAAAATATTAATCAGCACCAAGGAACAGTTTTTCAGTGTCTCAGACTGTTTTCTCAGCACTGAGTCCAGTAACTGCCAAGCAAAGACTCAGTATGAATGCACCACAACAACCAAGTTCAACATCTGGTAAGCTAAGGACATGTTATATAATGAAACAATAAAGCAAGCTCTCTTAACTCTAGAGTATTTTCTCTTTGGACCAGGAACACTACACTTTGTCCAGACAGGGTACAGTCCCCTAAAGCACTGGGTTATTACAGAAGTTCCAACCCACCTTCGTACATCAGCCTTGTTGAGAAGTAGTCCTCAGACTCCGTCAGTGCGTCGTCCTTATCCACCTCCAAGAGGTCCGACAGCCGCGTGATTGACACCTCCAAAGAGCAGAGAGAGCCTGTCCTACAGTACTCCATTCCCGAAGGGGGGGATATCTCAGCTTTCACGTTATATAATGTCTAGGCAGGAAAGGAAGAGAAAGGGAATGTACCTAAATGGTCTTAAGAAATACAGCACAGAGGCGCCAGCCACCTACACCTAAGGTGGCGGGTTCGAATCCCCAGCCCGGACCCGCCAAACAACAATGACGGCTGCAACCAAAAAATAGCCGGGCGTTGTGGCGGGCGCCTGTGGTCCCAGCTACTTGGGAGGCGGAGGCAGGAGACTCGCTTGAGCCCAGGAGTTGGAGGTTGCTGTGAGCTGTAATGCCACTGCACGCTACCCAGGGGGAGAGCTTGAGGCTCTGTCTCAAAAAAAAAAAAAAAAAAAGAAATACAGCACAGGACCAATGTGTAGCTGCCCACAGGCCTGGAGCCCTGAGGAAAGATGTGTCTGCCCAGCTGGCAGAAGACAACTGCGGCCACTCGCCCTAAGGACCCCGCTGCAGACACATGTTGTAGAAGCCCAACTCTAGGGCCTTAAAACCTGTTTTAGAACTGTGGATATTTTCAAGCTTTAGAAGAGGGACAGCACAGTGACCTCCACACTCCTGTCACCCAGACCACAGACTATCAGCACTCTGCTCCGCTCACTCTGCTGACCTTTTGACAACGCACTTATCTTAAAGCCACCTGCCATGTCACCCAGTAGGGTTTAGTACACGCTGCAAACAACATGGACATTTTCTTAACAAAACACAATGCCATTATCATAACCAGCAAAATTCACATGAATTCCCTGGTGTCTTCCAATCCAGTCCACAACCTCCTTTCTCCGTGTTCCCTCCTCCATGCTCAGTCTTTTCTTGGTGCGGCTCACACATGCCTCACATTCTCTCGCCACCCCACCACCTGCCACCGCACAACCCACACACCGGCAGGTCCCCTCCTACAGTTAGTGGTCTTTCATTCAACATAAAGTGGTCATAGCACAACTCGATTTAAAAGTGTTCTGTTGGTATCATAAAATGTCCAAATAAGAGGTTCCAGAATTTAAAAGTTTTTCCATAGTCTGATGCCAAAATAAAATGTTTCTCAAGGAGTTAAAGCAGCTAACCAAGTGTCCCCAGACCTTTCCAGGGGATTTACTATCAAAGACCCACTTAAATCTGTCTGGAGATGGCACAAACTTCGCCCATCTGAAGAGGGGCCATGCTGAGATCTTCCATGGCACAGAGGATGCCCAAATGCACAGCTCCAAAATGTGTGTGTGCCATCTGCCAGGAAGGATGCACCCTAAAGCAAGAGCAGTGAAAGGAAGGAGAAAAGTGACAGAGAACAGTGGCCGCATGGTGGCAGCTCCCTGAAACGTCCCCTTCACTCCAGAAGCTCCAGTCAGAGCAGTCAGGAATGCTTCCAAGGCTAGCAAAGGACGAGATGGGGTCAGTCTCAGTGCTTGGAGGAAGTTCACAGCTAGAGCATGAGAACTGGGACTGTGCTCAGGAGTTTACATCCTGGACGTTGCTTCCGGCTACTGTTGGGAAGGAGAGTGGCTGAGTGAAGGCACTTCATGTATCACGGAGCAGCAGTGCCGTGCCCTCACCTGACAGCAGCTACTGAGGCTGCTGGTACAGTGACCAGAAACAAGCCTCTTCAGAGGTAAACTCTAACATTTTTGGACAATGGAGCTCCACCAGGAGAGCCAAGACATCCAAGGGAAAGAAACAGCCTTCTGGATGAGTGACACGGGGACTCTAAATGAGCCACCTGGGAGAGAAGTGAGGACCCACCTCACACCCACACAGACTGACGCACAGGGCATCACAGACACAACTCTAAATGCGAAAACTACAAAAATCTTACAAGAAAATGCAGGAGGAAATCTTTTTGACCTTAGATTTGGTAATGATTTCTTAGATCCCAAACTAGTAATTTGAGCAATAAAAGAGAGAGATAAAGTGGACTTCCCCCAAATTTAAAACCTTTCTTCTTCAGAGGAAACCATCAAGAAAGTGAAAAGAGAACTCACAAAATGGCAGAAAATATCTGCAAATCATATATAAGGAATGGTATTTAGAATATATAAAGAACTTAAAATTTGATTATAAAGACATATAACCCTACTTAAAAATGGGCAAAATATTTGAATAGACATCTTTGGGGGGGGGGCATAGGTAGAGTGTCGTGGTGTCATCACAGCAAACTCAAACTCCTGGGCTCAAGCGACCCTCCTCCCTCAGCCTCCCGAGTAGCTGGGACTACAGGCGCCCACCACAACACCCAGCAAGTTTTTTGGGTTTTTTTTTTGTTGTTGTTGTTCTCCATCTCTCTCTCTTTTTTTTTATTAAATGATAGCTGTATACATTAATGCAAACATGGGGTACAGTGTAGTGTTTTCATGTACAATTTGAAATATTTTCATCAAACTGGTTAACACAGAGTTTGTGTCATTTACTTAGTTATTGTGTTAAAACATTTATACTCTAGTTCTAGGAAAGTTCACTTGTACCCTTGTTAGACAGACCATATAGGTGATCTTTCCAGTCACCCTCCCTCCACCCATCCGCCCTTCTCCCCTCCCCTCCCCACCCCCTCCCCATACTCTTGGGCTAGAATTAGGTTGTAGCTTTCATTTGAGAACTATAAATTAGTTTCATAATAGGGCTGTGTGACACCCAGCTAGTTTTACTATTTTTAGTAGAGACAGGGTCTCACTCTTGCTTGGGCTGGTCTCAAAGTCCTGAGCTCAAGCAATCCACCTGTTCAGCCTCCCAGAGTGCTGGGATCTCAGGCTGAGCCACCAAGCCCAGCCTTGAATAGACATCTTTCCAAAGAAGACAGACACATGCTTAGCCATCATTAGGTACTAGGGGATGCAAACCAGGAGCTCCCACATCATGCCCTGGGACTTAAATGTCACAAAGACAACAAAAATGAGTGCCAACAACAACGTACAGAGCCTAGACCTCTCTCTGCTCCAGTGGGAACGGAAAGTGGCACAGCCTCTCTGAATAGCAGTTTGGCAGTGTCTCCAGAAGTTAACCGAGTTACTATGTAAGAAATGAATACACGTGTCCACATAAAAACTTGTACAGATGTTTTCATAGCCCTGTTATTCATAAACCCCACAGGAGGAACATGCAGATCACAGGCACTGATGAGTAGACAAGATGTGGCCTACGTGCCCAGTGGAACGTGACGCTGTATGAGAAGGGTGTGGCCGAGGAACAGGTGAGCTCATTAACACTGTGCTGAGGGAAAGGAGCCAGCAAGGAGAGCGTCACAGAGGACCGCACTGTGTGGAATGCTCAGCACACCAGTCCACAGGGACGAAGGTGCCTGCAGGTTAGTGGCTGCCTCAGGTCAGGGGGAGAAGGGAGTGATGACCACTAATGGGGCGTGAAGGTTCTCTCTAGAATGATGAAAATGTTGGAATACAGTTATGACAGTGGTAATACAACTCTGCAAATACACTAAAACCACTGAACTGTGAGCATTAATTGTATGCATTTATGTCACAGTAATAGCTTTTAACAAAGCTGTTTAAAAAAGTGCCATCTAAACACAACAAAGTGACTGTAATCGACAATAAGTTAGAGTATTCGTTAAAATAACTATAAGATTGAAATTGGCATGTTCCTAACACAAAGAAATGATAAAAAACAAAGACCATATGATTCTCTCAATTGATGCAGAAAAAGCTTTTGATAATATCCAGCATCCTTTCATGATCAGAACACATAAGAAAATAGGTATAGAAGGGACATTTCTCAAATTGATAGAGGCCATCTACAGCAAACCCACAGCCAATATTGTATTGAATGGAGTTAAACTGAAATCATTTCCACTCAGATTAGTAACCAGGCAAGGTTGCCCATTGTCTCCACTGCTTTTCAACATTGTAATGGAAGTCTTAGCCATTGCAATTAGGGAAGAAAAGGCAATCAAGGGTATCCATATAGGGTCAGAGGAGATCAAACTTTCACTCTTTGCAGATAGTATGACTATATATCTGGAAAACACCAGGGATTCTACTACAAAACTCTTAGAAGTGATCAAGAAATACAGCAGTGTCTCAGGTTACAAAATCAACACTCACAAATTTGTAGCCTTTATATATACCAACAATAGTCAAGCTGAAAAAACAGTCAAGGACTCTATTCTTTTTACAGTAGTGCCAAAGAAGATGAAATATTTGGGAGTTTACCTAACAAAGGACGTGATCTCTATAAAGAGAACTATGAAACTCAAAGAAAAGAAATAGCTGAAGATGTTAACAAATGGAAAAACATACCATGTTCATGGCTGGGAAGAATCAACATTGTTAAAATGTCCATACTACCCAAAGCAATATACAATTTTAATGCAATCCCTATTAAAGCACCACTGTCATACTTTAAAAACCAGGAAAAAATAATACTTCGTTTTATATGGAATCAGAAAAAAACCTTGAATAGCAAAGACATTACTCAAAAATAAATCAGGAGGAATCAAGCTACCAGATCTCAGTCTATACTATAAATCAATAGTGATCAAAACAGCATGGTACTGGCACAAAAACAGAGAGGTAGATGTATGGAACAGAATAGAGAACCAAGAGATAAACCCAGCTACTTATAGTCCTTTGATCTTTAATAAGCCTATCAAAAATATTCAGTGGGGGAAAGGCTCCCTATTTAACAAATGGTGCCGGGTGAACTGGCTGGCAACCTGTAGAAGACTGAAACTGGACCCATACCTTTCACCATTAACTAAGATAGACTCTCACTGGATAAAAGATTTAAACTTAAGACATGAAACTATAAAAATACTAGAAGAGAGTGCAGGGAAAACACTTGAAGAAACTGGCCTGGGAGAATAATTTTATGAGGAGGACGCCCCCTCCCCGGCAATTGAAGCAACACCAAAAATATATTACTAGGACCTGATCAAACTAAAAAGCTTCTGCACTGCCAAGAACACAGTAAGTAAAGCAAGCAAACAGCCCTCAGAATGGGAGAAGATATTTGCAGGTTATGTCTCTGACAAAGGTTTAATAACCAGAATCCACAGAGAACTCAAACATATTAGCAAGAAAGGAACAAGTGATCTCATCTCAGGGTGGGCAAGGGACTTGAAGAGAAACTTCTCAGAAGAAGACAGATGCACAGCCTACAGACACATGAAAAAATGCTCATCATCCTTAATCATCAGAGAAATGCAAAGCAAAACCACTTTGAGATATCATCTAACTCCAGTAAGATTAGCCCACATCACAAAATCCCATAACCATAGATATTGGCGTGCATGTGAAGAAAAGGGAACACTTCTGCACTGCTGGTGGGAATGCAAACTAATATGTCCCTTTTGGAAAGATGTTTGGAGATCACTTAGGGATCTAAAAATAGACCTGTCATTCGATCCTGCAATTTCTCTACTAGTATATATCCAGAAGACCAAAAATTACTTTTAAAAAAGATATTTGCACCAGAATGTTTATTGCAGCCCAATTCATAATTGCTAAGTCATGGAAGAAGCCCAAGTGCCCACTGACCCATGAATGGTTTAATAAATTGTGGTGTATTTATACCATGGAATATTATGCAGCCTTAAAAAGATGGAGACTTTACCTCTTTTATGTTTACATGGATGGAGCTGGAACATATTCTTCTTAGCAAAGTATCTCAAGAATGGAAGAAAAAATGGCTCGGCGCCAGTAAGTCAAGCGGCTAAGGCACCAGCCACATACACCAGAGCTGGGTTCGAATCCAGCCCGGGCCTGCCAAACCACAATGACAACTACAACCCCCGCCCTCGCAAAAAAAAAGCCGGGCACTGTGTCGGACGCCTATAGTCCCAGCTACTTGGGAGGCTGAGGCAAGAGAATCGCTTAAGCCCAGCATTTGGAGTTTGCTATGAGCTATGATGCCATGGCACTTTACCTAGGACGACAGCTCGAGACTCTGTCACACACACACACAAAAAAGAATGGAAGAAAAAGTATCCAATGTACTCAGCCCTATTATGAAACCAATTCATAAGCACCCACACTTCCATATGAATGCTATAACCCAACTACAGCCCAAGATGAAGGGGAAAGAGAAGGAGGTGGGGTGGAGGGAGGGTAATTGGTGGGACCACACCTATGGTGCATTTTGCAAGGGTACATGTTAAATCTACTAAGTGTAGAATATAAATGTCTTAACAAAATAAGAAAATGCGGTGAAGGCTATTTTAACCAGTTTCATGAAAGTATTTCAATATTTCTGTAAGTACCTGTTGTTTAAGGCTCTAGACTTTGGAGAAATTCAATTTGCTATAATCCATCTTTACACAAATAAAGTCTCACTCGTCACTCAAAAAAAAAAAAAAAGAAAGAAAGAAATGATAAATGCTAGAGGTGATGAATACCCCAATTATCCCAACTTGATTAATTTACACTGTAAGCCTTTATCGAAACATCACATGTGCCCTTACAAAGATAGTCAAAGATTATGTACATATAATAATTAAAAAATTGTTAATGCTATCTATATATTTCAGGTCCTCAGACTACCAGTTTTAAAAAAGATATTTTTTAATATTTTTCTCTGGCTTTTTACTCAGCTTGTACAGTTCTAATGGGAAATTCTTCCTCTTCAAATTAAGAGAGAAAAGTAACAGTGGAGTCTACTAACTAGTTACTAATCATCAGTAATAAACATACACATTGGATTCATGCAAGGCTAACATTAACACATCAAAGACATCTGTCTGTGCTACCTGGAGAGAAGCTGACCCTCCAAGGCTAGCAAGGAGAGTTAAATAAAACACAATAGGCAAAACAATTAGTCTGTCTTGGTTGAAAGAAAGCAGAGAAAAAATTACTAATATCAAAACCACAAACACAATCACCTCAAATCAAATTGTTTAACAATTTCAAGCAGGAAAGAGAAGAAAAGGAAGTAACTCAAAATTACAGAACAGTAACTCAATCTCTCTAAAGCAGTGGTTCTCAACCTTCCTAATGCTGTGACCCTTTAATACAGTTCCTGTGGGTCGTGACCCATAGGTTGAGAACCACTGCTCTGAAAGGAATACAAAAACACAATTACGTCCATACCTAGGCTCCACATTACTTTTAGCTCAATGCTTAAAATTAGCTTCCACCCAAAATATGCAGAGGTTATAATAAAATCTTAACAATACACAGCAAGCAAATTTTCTGAATATTTTCAGTTTTTCTTTTAAAAAACAAGAAACATGCCTCAAGAAAGTAATGCCCCTGAGGAGTACCTAATGATGAGAAGGAAATGAGCCTAGGAAATGCTTCGAGGAAGGCATTGCTAACTCCACATAAGAAGGTGAACAGGGAGGTGAGAAGAGTCTCTGGGCTTTCTGCACAATGAACGCTCAGATGCCAACAGGGTGCAGGTGCCTCAGATATGTCACCTGAGAAGGGCTCAGGTGACTCAACCACCCCATGAATTTCCTAGTGTTTCTGCGCCACTGCTTGATTATATGGAAAGAACTTGCCCATCTGATAAGTTTTAGATAATAAAGATTATGATGCCATCTTTCATTTTCCCACCCACAACCCCCACCAAAATAATACATTACGTACAAAAAAATTTTCCACTTGAAATTCGTAAGTATATGGCTTTAGGGAGACAGACAGCCGTTCATCCGAAGCTGGGGAAAATCTCATGGAGAACTGGCAACGCAGAGAAGGGGGAGGCTCCTGTGTCCACTTCAGCTCCCAGACAAAGAACACCGGCTGCTTGCTGTAGATTCGCTGCAAAGAGAGTTGCCGTCGTCATCGTACACACAGCGCAGCGAACCGCAGACGGACAGATGCTGTAGTGCAACGGCGTACGTCTTGCAAGGGGAAAGCAGGACAGAGACAGGGTCGGGCAGAGCCCAGTCATTCTGCCCTGCTGCCCAGCAGTGTCTATCTCTACCCTGGCTCCTCCTACCTAGCCTTGCTCAGGCAGAAGGCTGCACAAATTTGGTATAAAGGTTTTACTTTGTTATGATTCCATAGCTTCAAGGCATAGGGGATCATAAAAAAGAAGCCTAAAGAGTATTTATTAATTTATATATGGAATAGCCTATCCATCTCTAAAACAAGGGAAAATGTCATCAATCAATTGAAAAGTACATCTTGGCCAGGAGTGATAGGTCTCACCTGCAGTACTAGCACTTTGGGAGACAGAGGCCAGAGGATCACTTGAGGCCAGGAGTTTGAGACCACCCTGGGCAACAGTAAGACCCTGTCTCTACTAAAAATTTTTTAAAAAAGAAAAAATGAGCCATATGTTGTGACAGGCACCTATAATCTGAACTACTCAGGAGGCTGAGACAGGAGGATCCCTTAAGCCCAGAGTTTGAGGCTGCAATGATGGTGCCAGTGCACTCCAACCAAGGCAACAGAGTGAGACCCTGTCTCAAATAAATAGACAGGGCGTATTTACATCCATGTCAATTATTTTTTATTTAACAGTAAGTTAGTTTAGGAACTAGCACAATCTACATATGGACCAAACAGCACTATGGCACATAAAGTTCACACTTGCAAGTATAGTGACAGGCACAGTGAGATTTAAAAGTTGTCAAGTACTGGTGGGGAAAATCCTTTGAAAATGCTAAAGACATAAATGTCTATTAAGAAAACCTCTGATCTCCTTAACACTCAGCATTTACCATCTAAAAACACACATGCAAACAGACATGAAAAGCAAAGTCAAGATGGAGCCAGGCGGCATGGCCATGATGGACATGGCTCCTTTACAAAGCTCCTTCCTACTGGCACAGGCAGAATGGAATAGCCTCCATTTCCTAAGACTGACAGAGTCCATGCAACCAACTGGAGAGTCAAACACAGCTCGGATTTGCACAAATCTATGTATAGAGTAGGACAAGTTTAAGATTTAATTCTAAAAGTACAGACAGCAATCTATTTCCTAACACACACACCCCCCCAACCATTTGGCCCACCAGCCCATGCATTCCACAGGGGAGCAGGGACACACACAGTGCAGTGAGCACAGTGCCAGTGCAGGAGCTGTCTCATGTGTGCATGAGCTTTTGCTAACTGGTGCGAGACTCTTCTCTGTATCTAAAGGCTAAGTCTCAAAACACACTGTGTCACTTTCATCAAAACACTGCAGATAGGACATCTCACGCCCCAGCACTCTGCTGAGGTAATGCACAAGTCTAGAGAATGTTTACCTGCTGGGACTGAGTGTTCAGCGGTATTAGCTGCAGGTCGGTACTATCACCAGTGTCTACAAGGTTACTATCTGACAGCTGAAATTCAAGTTCTGACAAATTCTGGACACAAACTTGAACATATTTCCTAAAGCAAAAAAAAACAAGAAATGTGATTTTGACATTTAAAAACTTTATTAAATTATTTTAGCTTTGTTAAGGAGACCCTCTCCAATAGTGATCAAAAAAATGACAAAGCAAAATAAGAGTAAGTTGTTACACATATTTCCACTTTTGATTTCATATGGAAAAAACAAATCTTTTTAAACCAGTTATTTATGTGGGAAAATGAATTAAACTGTTCTGTGTCTGATACGGTATTATGAAATATTAATAACTGACCATCCCACACAGACATGGACTGCAGTGACGTGTGCGGGGAAGAACAGGGATCACTAGCAGTAATGATTACTTGTTGAAAACTGCAGGGCTCAAGTTAGGTAATGTTATATGAAGAATTTATTAAAATATTCCTTATAGGCTTGGCGCCTGTGGCTCAAGCGGCTAAGGCGCCAGCCACATACACCTAAGGTGGCGGGTTCGAATCCCCAGCCTGGGCCCGCCAAACAACAATGACGGCTGCAACCAAAAAATAGCCAGGCATTGTGGCAGGCGCCTGTAGTCCCAGCTACTTGGGAGACTGAGGCAGGAGACTCGCTTGAGCCCAGGAGTTGGAGGTTGCTGTGAGCGTGATGCCATGGCACTCTACCCAGGGGGATAGCTTGAGGCTCCGTCTCAAAAAAAATAAAAATAAAAATAAAAAAATATTCCTTATAAAGCACCTCATTTCTTTTAGAGATTACTGATGCTTTTAACCCTTAATACCTACAGTTCTCTTACGGTGATGTGAAAGGAAAAGGAGCTCCTGGTAGAATATTCCATTCTGAATGGGGTTCTGACACTTTTATTTCCACAATATCCAACTGTCATCAATGGATGAAAGCAAAAGGGAAGATTACAATGACAGGCCAGGCCAGCACCCCAAGCCTCATGTTCAATGCCAGTGTCATCAGTGGGGAAAGACAACTAGACACGGAGCCTCCTGATGCGGGAAGCATGAAGCAGACGGTGCCACTGTAGCCTTCTTGTCCAGAAGCTGAATAGGGGTCTAATCGAGACTCTAGAGCAGGTGATCCCAACTGGGATAATTCAACCCATCCCAGGGGACTCTGGGCAATGTCTATAGACACCTGTGGTTGTCACAGCTGGGAATGAGGATCATTCCTGGGATCTAGTGGGATCTACAGTGCACAGGACCACCCAGGCCAAGCTGTCAGCCATGCTGGGGGCGAAAAGCCCTGCTCAGAGGACACCTAGCACTTGGCAAGAGACACACAGGCAGGGGACAAGTTAAACCATGAAGATGCAACCAGCCAAATCCAGAAGACAACTGACATGAGTTTTCAACAAGTCAAAGGCTTAAATCAAAAAATAGGTAAAGAGGCACAAAAAGAGATCTAGTAAAATAGAGACTTTGGACCCTGAATCACACAAACCAACTGTAAAAAGTCATTTTTGAGACAGCTGGAAAAAATCTGAATATGGACTGGATGTTACAGGATACCAGGGAATGACTGTGAACTTTTACAGATGGACAATGGCATCATGACTATGTAAGAAAATATCCTTAATTATCACTAAGACCAAGTGTTGAAGATGAAGAATCTCCACGTAGCAGAGTCCTGGGACAGAAGCTAGGGCTGCCCACCACACCTCCTTACCGTGTTCCAGAGGACAGCAGGGAATGTGTGGTCCTGAAGGGCACACTGAAAGTCAGTGCAATGACAGTGGAGTAGATGGACCACGGGCAGTCGATGGACACCTGAGGAGAAAGCAGAGGGACATATACTCAGACCCCTCGCCTAACAGATGGTGCAGCCACCGCTGCCACCCCCATATCTGCACCGGGCACCCATCTCCTAGACATCTTTGCCTCTCATTATTCAGAAAGAAAAACCCTATTAAACTTGTGGGCCAACCAGAACAGGAAGCTACGTCCACAGAAAAGCAGATGCGGAACTGGCAGAACGTCCACGTGTCACCAGAATGGTCGTGTGACTAGAGTACAAACACCCTCCAAAGCAGCAAGCCCACCTCCTGCTCCCACACCCACAGAGCTGTGATGCCAAACACATGGTTCTGAGAAACCGCCTTAGTCATGTGTGTCCAGGTGACCCTACCAATGAGTCACCACTCCACAGTGAAATGAATCATGCAAGCACTTACCACCTGATGCTAACACATAACTGAAAACCAATCAATCTGGGGCATAATGTGAACAAAGCTATTAATTCCCTTAAGGTCAGTGAAGCAGGGCTCAAGTTTCGTTTCCTTTCCCACGTGGGATAAATGAGCATGAGCACTGAGCACAGAATAGCCACGTGTTAGATCTGCATGCCCTACTGAAGCAAGTGTCTCTCTGACTCACAAACCTCTTTATGAGATAAGGGGAAGAGATTCTTTTAATTTTTCAAGAACTGAAAATGGCCGGGAGCAGGGGCTCACACCTGTAATCCTAGTACTCTAGAAGGCCAAGGCAAGCGGATTGCCCGAGCTCACATGGCTGAAGACCAACCTGAGCCAGAGCGAGACCTCATCTATACAAAATAGCCGGGCATTGTGGTAGGCACCTATAGTCTCAGCTACTTGGGAGGCTGAAACAAGAGAATTACTTAAGCCCAAGAGTTTGAGGCTGCTGTGAGCTGTGACACTATGGCACTCTGCCCAGGATAATAGACTGAGACTCTGTCTCAAAAAAAGAAAAAAAAGGTTGTTTTCCTAGGCATTTTGCCCTACAGTTCTTGGCATATACTGCAAGCCCTGGCTGTTCAAGTGCTCTCAGACCTGGCATCTGTGTCACCACCTGTGGGTACACCTTGAATAAAGATAATAAACATAATACTGGCAGCATAATGTGAGTTGAATTCCCATAGATCTGGGACCAAAGTCATGTGTCTCTCAGACAACTGTCAGTAAGTACCACACCAATATCTAAAAGGACAGAGCTCCTTCTAGGCAACATACAAGGACAAAGAGACAGGGCCCAAATTCAGCTCCCCTCACACCTACGCTACCACTACAGCTTTCACAGTAAGTCTCTTGCCCTCCTGGGCTGGAACATCAGAATCTGTCTTTGTCCTTCCAAGATGCACCCTTATCTAAGAAGGAGGCAATTCACAGACACAAATGCTCAACGCGAGAGCTCCTGGGTCGGGGTTTGGCACCCTGCTGTGCTGCTGTCTTCAGCAGACAGGACAGGCAGACCATGCCACCATGACCCAAGCTACTCCACAGCCCCTCCTCACTTTGTGGTCTGTGGTGACCATGCTGTGGCTAGTCTTCTGCTTGTCCTTGTGCTTCCGATGGGGCTCCGGTGTCCCGAGCAGGTCACTCTCCCCTCTGGCTGCTGGGGCTGAAGGTAAGGAGAGCACTTCCAGTTCAAATTCGATGACATGATATGCAGGGGCAACAGGCAGGCTGATGCTCGTGACCTTGTCAGAGGACTGAATCCGGAGCAATGCGCTGGAACACTGTTCTACAAAAGACAGAGGAAAGTCACTGCAAACACACTCCCTCTGCTTCATTTCTCCTGTCACTTCTTGTGATGGGCCCAGCAGTGGGATCACAGCCACACTCCTCCTGAGCCCGTGTACATGGAAGAGAGGAGGGAGGGAAGGTTAGGTGGGAGGGAAGACGCAGGAAAACCTAAGAACAAAACTCTCAGGAGAGAGGGTACGCCATGGATGCTGGCCGGCAGAGCCAGACAACCGTCACTGCTCTCTATCTAAAGACAGTAGAAGGGCACTTCCCAGGTGGCCCACCCATGTCTGCAGATGCCCTTCCACTGCACCCCATCAGCAAATCAATACCCCACACCCACAAAGAGGGCCAGTGGGGAAATACAGGTTTCTTAGGGCTTCTGACCAGTGGGGTGAAGGTAGACAGAGGCTGGTGGGGCATCACCAGAGAGCAGGAGCCCAGCTGTGATGTGGGACTCCACGTACTTGACCAGGGCAGCATTCCTTGGCCACTCTGGTTCACCACTCCCAGTTGCCCCCCTCGAAGGTAGCACCCAGTCCAGGAACGAGGCCCAGCATACATATCGAACGCTGACTCCAGCCACCCCCTGAGAACAACATGGAGCGCAGAAGTATCAGGCCACGCAGATGGGTGGCAGCAATGCCAAGCTCATTCTTACACCCCTCCGGTATGCGACAAAGCCAAGGATCCCCCTACAGGAGTGCCTCGCCACCAGGTGGCCGGCGCCTTACCTCTCGTGTTAGAGTAGACCACAGCTCTGTTCTCTGCCTGACACAGAATGAGCATAGATTCCACATTGCTGAGCTGGAGGCTGTCCCCATTTTTTATTGTATAATGGCCAGTAGTGACAGTGAACTTGACCTTCTGAGGAATACCTGCCAAAAGGCTATCTAAAGGGGGAAAGACAGTAATTAGCATCACTACCAACCAGAAGCAGTAACTCGGGGCCTACTGTGAGGTTCAGAGGGTACTCTGTTCTTTCTACTATAAAAGATTGTTCATTTTGGACACTCCACGAATTCAATTTCCATTCCCTTTGCTTAACTTTTAAGCTTGACGATATGGTCTGCAGAGTTAAAGGGGACCTTGCTGGGAAGAAACGGTCTCTGAGTCGAAGGGATCTTGTCCTCACCCTGTTTCAGAGAGCTAGGGATTATAACAGCAACGATGTCTCTGAGGGTCACAGAATTTACCTGCCAATAAGTCAGTATGAGGGAGTCAGATAATGAGCCTTAAGATAAGACCAAAAAGAGACTCTAATGTGCTGATGCAGTCAGGGTTCCCTCTGGCCTTGAACTTAGGGCCACAGGGTCTTTGGTTCAGAAGCAATTCACAGCAGGACAGCCACCCCTTACTCTTAGACAGAAATAGAGGGGCAGAAACGGGCTGCGGTTTCTGAAAATCCTGTTCCATGAAAGGCAGAAAGAAAAGACAAGGACCAAGAAGGGGCGTGAATAAAGAGAGCCAGGCCAGAGTCAGGAGAGAGCGTGAGCCATGCATTGGCACCACAGTCTCCTGGGAGGACCGGCAGGCCTGTGCTCTGTTGCTGCTCTTGTCTCTGCAGACGGCAGTCCTGCTGCTCTCATGCAGCATCGCCCAGAGAGAGAATCGTCTGAGAGACTCAGAATCGTCTCAGAATCGTCTCAGAATCGTCTGAGAGACTGGCGTCTCAGAATCGTCTCAGAGACGTACCAGCGTCTGAGGGCCTCTGCTGGGGCCAGGAGAGATGTTTGAATGCAGAAAAGTAGGGAAAATGGGAAATTAATCAAGAAAACATGCTTTTCTTGATTTTTCTTTTCCAAATGGAAGAAACAAATAAGTACCCCCATCATTCCCAATCTAAACAACTGAGAAGTCCCTCACTGGCATCCAGCTCCCATGTGGTCTTCACTGTTTACAGGACTCCCCTAAATTCATAACTTATCGGGAAGAACGGTAGCTTTGAATTTTCCAAACGTTATGCCTGAGTGTCAAGTCTAACAAACACTCTCATGGAAATACTTCTGATCCGAAAATACATAACTAAACCTTGTATTTAGTCTCTGAAACCTCAAAGCAGGAAAATACATACTTATTAAACTCTGCAGCAAACGTTAGCTGCTACCTGGCTAATGTGATTTTGTAAAACATATATTTTGTCTTCAATCCCATTTCCAGGCACACCAACTCCTAAAATCCTTGGAAACTCATAGTCATGCCTTTTGTATGCTAACCAGCTGACTACTGGGTGAGAGCCCCTGGGTAGCCTTCAGGGGGCTGGCCTGAGGAAAGACCAAGGGATTAAGACCTAGGGGTTAAGGCACTCAGCCTACCCTGAATTCTGTGGAGGGGAGACGGGGTGAAGATCAGCTGGTCCTCCGTGGCCAGTGGTTTTATCAGTCATGCCTATGTAATGACGTCTCCATAAAAGGCCAAGAGGATAGTACATGAAAGCTTCTAGCCAGCTGCATGTGTGGGGATGGAGGTTCCCAGGGGTCAGCGTGCCAGAGAGGTCATGGACACTCCAATCCCTTCCCCTGACTCTGTATCCTTCATAACATAACATACCAGTAAACATGCTCCCTGAGTCTGTGAGCCACTCCAGCAAGTTAATCAAACCCAATAAGGGAGCTATAGGAACCTCAATTTCTAGCTGTTCAATCAGAAGCACAGGCAGAAGAATCTGGGACATGTCACTGGCACTGGGGTGAGGGGCGGTCTTGTGGGACTGACCCCCCAGCCTGTAGGATCTGACACTATCCCCAGGCGGACACCCAGCTGGCAGCTGCTGCAGAACTGACTGTATGCTTGTAGGTATGGCGAAAGCCCCACACATGTGATCACAGAGGTTTCTGTGCAGAGGGTTGTGTTGTGTGAAAGAATAGAAAAAATACTTCTGAGTTTCTTTCTTCTAGTCTTAGAATTAATTTCCCTATTTTTGTTATTTTTAGGTACACCATATTTATTAAACATGACAGCAACTACAGGAAAGCAAGTATTCAGATGAACAAAAGAGGCACAATCAGTTAGTTTGGGCAAAATTTCCATTAAGTTACTCAAAATGGCTCTTAAAGGCAGAGACGGCGAAAACCCACTAGAACATCTCAGCAAGTCCTCTCAGACCACCACCTCACGGTGAGCGTCCTGAAGGGGCTGGGCCTCCACTCACCAGCCAGAGGCTCCACGTGCAGCTGGGGCTCCTGCGAGTACACGTCATACTGCACAATGGGGTAGATGTGAGGAAGGACAAACCACACAGGGCCCGCGGAGGCACACAGCTGCCGCAGCGTGTACGTTCCAGGCTCCCTGGCCTAGAGTCAAATCAGGCATTTGAAAAGGTAAGAGACATGTGAGCTTCCTAAGGCAGAGCCAGGCCGTGCTCTCCCTGCAACACAAAGTGACTGTAACACTCCCCCAGGCCTCCTGCCCCAGGCCTGACCTGTCCACACATGGGCTGTTCAAAAAGGCCTCAGAATCTCTCTGCAGACTGATGCTCACACTTGACTTTACACTTCTAACAAGGTATTTCCAGCTTAATAAACTATATTTGTGGCGTTCTCTTTGAAGGGTAGTTAGTGGAGATGTTCAGCTTGAGACTTAAGAAACATGCGCATGCGGCAAATAGCTGTACTTTCCACAGACCAGGTCCTCTTGAATTAGTGGAACTTACAAGATATGCTGCATCAGGGAAAATTTATGTCAGAGTTGGTCAGAAGCAATGGTTTTGCTATCTAGGCAGCCACAAGAGGAAAACAAGGTTTAACATGAAACTGTACCACCACCTTCTTTGAAACCTCATTTTAACAAATGAGGGAGTATTTTAATACACAGGGGGAAAAGCTAACTTAACCCAATAATACAATTAGCAAAAGCTAACTGAACCTAAAAACAAGTATCTATGTTAAGAACTTCACTCAACTGGCTTGGTGCCTGTAGCTCAGCAGCTAGGGCGCCAGCCACATACACCACAGCTGGTGGGTTCAAATCCAGCCCAGGCCCACCAAATAACAATGACAACTTCAACCAAAAAATAGTCAGGCGTTGTGGCAAGTGCCTGTAGTCCCAGCTACTTGGGAGGCTGAGGCAAGAGAATCGCTTAAGCCCAAGAGCTGGAGGTTGCTGTGAGCTGTGACGCCATAGCACTCCACCAAGAGCAACATAGTGAGACTTTGTCTCAAAAAAAAAAAAAAAAAAAAAGAACTTTGCTCAAAATTTATCAACTGCCATAAATATATATAAATATTAGTCAGATATACTTTTCTGTAAGGATAATGGCAAAAATCAGTTTGACAGAACAGAGGACTGGACTCAATTCTCACCAAGCTTCAGACAATCCTCGCAAGTTCCATGGCAATTGTCTGTCGACTCACATACCTGAGTCCTGAATGCTATCTTGTTGGGCCCTGGCTCCAGAGTCACACTGCTGCACCTCAACACATGGGCCCCTTCCTCCAGGGCCAGCCCAGAGGGCACCTCTAGAGAAGAGCTGCTCTCCTGCCTTCTCAGGAGCATGTGGACATTTCTGCAGATAATCCCTGTCGTGTTCAGCGAGTTGTCAGAAGGGCTTCTCTCAAACATCTCATATAGCTCCAGCGCAGGCAGGCTATTCTGGGATGCGGGTAGTGGTGAAGTTTCAGCTGGGAAGTTTATGATCCCATTGGATGTCTTGTGCTTGGTCAGCCACTCAGCGGTCTTCCGGTAACTGTTCTTCTCAATGCTGAAGTGGACGTTGACAGCAATCTGCTCCATGTGAACAGGGATAGGCATCTGACTGCACACTGTTATCTCAACAGACAAAATGCCACCCACGTGGACCACAGCGTTGGAAGGGTCAAAATGAAGATCTCTCAGGTGTGCAAAGGAGTGCATGGGCAGCACAATTCTGTGACCTGTGAACACAGATGACCAGACCTTACTCGCAGCACAGGCCTCAGACAAGCTACGGTCACCTGGTTCACATGCAAGAGAAGCAAGGACCAGTACAGTGCAAAAGGATGTCCCTGACCTGCAGCCATGTCCACACCCCCAAAAAGTTACTTGGTCAAAAGCAAAACATAAACAAACAGCTGGATAACTCCTAGAAATCATAACATGTACACAAATTAAGGTTTCCAAGTCTACTTTGACAATCCTAAGAGAAATACAGGTCAACTAACTCTTCATCCAATCAAAACTTGTAAATAGTCTAATTTCTAAAACTGTTTTCAGGGATTCTAATACTTTCCCACTACTTAAAGGAATTTTTAAGTGAAGATGCCTAAGTACCCACCATGCTACTGAATGTGAACTCCAGGCATCTGCTGTCTGTGGAGTTGGAGACAGAGCAAGGACCCTGCCATCCCCAGCAGCACCACAGCCAGGAGGGGGCCCGGGTTCTCCTGGTTCTCTCTCTGACCTTTCTATAATAAGCACCTTGGTTTTGACTAGAAAATCCACAAGGCTGCAGAACTGACTGGTTAAGTACTTAGAAAGCATTCATCAACTGTAAGATTTATTGAGACTGATGCTAAGATCATGAGAAACACTAAACAATTGTGCAATGTGGCAGAACAATCATAACTCAACTAGTCTCACACACTAAAACAAGCAATGGACAAGGCCACAGTTCTACCACCAATCAGTTTGGCTTGATAAAGAATCTACAAAACCAGAGTCATGATTCTCCCAAAAATCCCAGCCAGGTGGCTCTACTTGAGTGAATACTCATAGCCCAGTAGTCAATGATCATAAGAAGCCAACACTTTTGGGAAAACTGGCTTTCAGATAGTTGGTAACTGCTATGGGCTGAACTGTGACCCCAGTATTCCGACAGTAAAGCCCTAAGCCCCTTGCAATGATATCTGGAGAAGAGGACTCTGGGAGGTTCTGAGGCAGCTCCTGAGGGAGACATCACAGAGCGCGCTCCCTCCTCCCACCACACCAGGACGCAGTGAGGCGGCCACTGTGCACAGCCAGCAAGCGAGCCCTCCCAGAAGCTGACCCCGACAGCATCCTGCTCTCAGATTTCCAGCTTCCAGAACGGTGAGAAAATAAATGCCCACTGTTTAAGCTGCCCAACCTATGGTAATTTGTTATGTCAGCCCAAGTAGAGTAATATAGTAACTATTTTAAATAAGCCATCTTCTTGGTAAAATAAACATGAGGAGCTTAACTTCACAGTACATTTAACCTTACCATGCAGCATCATCTATGAAGTACATTTTCCAAAACATTAAAGCTGAACCTACAGCTTTCAGACCCAACTTCCAGTCGCACGCTCCCACAAAGAGACACTCAGACAGGTTCTCCAGACGGTGGACAGCCTGCAGACAGCTGCCCAGCACCGCAGAGACTGAAGGACTGACACGACACCCATGACCTTGGAATAGAACACAGCCACAACACAAAGACCACCAATCCGATGATTTAGGAAAGTTTTCAGAATCAAAATGAAGTCACTTGTGTTAACAAAGAAAACCATGACAGAGCCAGAGAAGGTCCTCACACACGTGTGCCTGCTAACAAAAACTATCACAAAAGATTCCACAGAACTGCAACCTCCCACAAAGGCCGCTGCAACTTTACACATTAAAAAACACTTCTTGGCATGACCAAAAGCGAGACTCCCGTCTCTACTAAAAATAGAAAACTTAGCTGGGTGATAGGCTGAGGCAGGGGGCTAAGGCCACAGCACTCTGGCTAAGGTGACAGAATGAGATTGTGTCTCAAAAAAAACCCAACAACAACAACAAAAAAAAACAAACCTTGTTTGAGGACATTTGCCCAGAAACTTCCTGTTCAACCCGGACTAGCACCACCCTTGTTGCTGACCCTTGTAGCCAAGGATCAATCTTTCCTAACCCTCTGCATATGCACAGAAGCCCTGTCACATGCCCTCCTCCCACAGGCTCATCATTTTGTCTCAGAGGCTCTCCATCTGGGACCAGAAGACTTTCAAATTGCAGGGTTATTTTTTTATTTTGGAATGTGTACATCGCATTTACCAGTTGAGCATCCCTAATCCAAAAATCCAAAAGGCTCCAATGAGCACTGCCTGTGAGTATAAAGCCAGCACTCAAAAAATTTCAGATTTAGGGCCACTTCAGATTTCTAAATTAGGGACACTCAACCTGTACTTTCATGAAACATCCAGAATAGGTATCTACAAGATAGACTAGTGGTTGCAGGGGGCTGAGAATAGGTAAGGAATGAATACAAGGTTTCTTTTGGGGTTGATAAATATGCTCTGGCCAGAGCAATTAGGCAAGAGAAAGAAATAAAGGGGATACAATGTGGAAAGAAAGAAGTCAAATTAGCCTCGGTCCCAACTAACATCTTACACCTAGAAAAACCTAAAGATTCCATCAAAAACTATTAGAACTGGCTCGGCGCCTGTGGCTCAAGAGTAGGGTGACCAGATTTTAACACTGGTAAAGCGGGACAACGTGGCCGGGGGGCAGGGCTCGGCCTGACAACAATGCAAACTTTGAATAGCAGTTCTCGATAATCACTTCTCAACAATTATTTGTTATTATTACAGTTTAACATTATAAAATTAACAAAAATAATATAAAACTCATATCCTGGTGAAATAGCCACATGGCAGCCGAGAACCGTATATTCCCTTCCTGTTCTCCCACCTGTTTGTGCATTCTTTCCAAAAATCGGGACCTTTTTAAAACGTTGCGGGACATGGGACAAATTGTTAAAAATTGGGACTGTCCTGCCAAAAGCGGGACGTCTGGTCACCCTACTCAAGAGGCTAAGGCGCCAGCCACATACACCTGAGCTGGCAGATTCGAATCTAGCCCCAGGCCCACCAAACAACAATGGCTGCAACCAAAAAATAGCCGGGCGTTGTAGCAGGCGCCTGTGGTCCCAGCTACTTGGGAGGCAGAGGCAGGAGACTCGCTTGAGCCCAGGAGTTGGAGGTTGCTATGAGCTGTGATGCCACGGCACTCTATCTAGGGGGACAGCTTGAGGCTCTGTCTTCAAAAAAAAAAAAAAAAAAACCAAAAACTATTAGAACTGATAAACAAATTAAAGTTGTAGGATACAAAATCAAAAGAGACAAATCAAAGCCAGGCATAGTGGCACACACCTATGATCCCAGCACTCTGGGAGACTGAGGCAGGTGGATCGCCTGAGCTCATAAGTTTGAGACCAACCTGAGCCAGAGTGAGACCTCATCTCTAAAAATAGCTGGGGGTTGTGGCGGGTGCCTGTAGTCCCAGCTACTTGGGAAGCTGAGAGGCAAGAGAATCACTTAAGCCTAAAAGTTTGAGGTTGCTCTTAGGTGTGATGCCACAGCACTCTACCCAGGGCGACAAAATGAGACAGTCTCAAAAAAAAAAGAAAGAAAGAAAAAGAAAAAACGGGCAAGAGATCTGAATGTTTCTCAAAGACATACAAATGGCCAACAGATACATGAGAAAATACTCAACATCACTAATCAGCAGAGAAATGCAAATCAAAACTACAGGAAAATACCCTCTCACCCTAGTTAAAGTGGCTTTTACCAAAAAAGGCTGATTATGTTGGTGAGAATGTGGGAAAAGGAGAGCCCCTGTACCTGTTGATGGGAATGTAAATCAGTACAGCCAGTACGGACAACAGTGTGGAGGTGCCTCAGAAAACCACCCTATGACCATAGAACCACCCTGTGATCTAAGCAATCCCATGACTGGGTAATTATCCAAATGAAGGAAAATCTGCACTGCCAGGTTTACTGCAGCCAAGATCTGGAATCAACAGAAATGCCCGTCAGTGGATGAAAGGACACAGAAAATGTAGCATATGTGGGTGCTAGAATGCTATGCAACCCTAAAAAAAGAATCAAATCCTGACTGGGCGCCATGACTCACACCTGTAATCTTAGTACTTTGAGAAGTCGAGGCAGGCAGATTACTTGAGCTCAGGTGTTTGAGATCAGCCTGAGCGAGAGCGAGACCCCACCTCTAAAATCAGCCAGGTGTTGTGGCGGACGCCTATAGTCCCAGCTACTAGGGAGGCTGAGGCAAGAGAATCGCTTGAGCCCAAGAGTTTGTTGCTGTGAGCTGTGATGCCATAGTATCTACCAAGGGTGACAAAGTGAGGCTTTGTCTCAATTAAAAAAAATAATAATAATAAAAAAAATTTATAAAATTATTTGAGACAATTAGGGAAATGTGAATATGGACTACTTAATAGATGATCAGAACCTTGCTGATTCTTCAGGTGTGGTTAGGAAACTGTCCTTATTGTTAGAAGATCCATGATAAATTGATAAATTGTTTCAGGGTGAAGTATAACATAACGTCAAGTTTCTCTTAAAGTTTAGGGAAAAAGTGAACAGAAAGGTATAGACACATGTTGCTCCACAGCCCAGTGTTCACTGTGTGCTCTGGGTGGTCGGTGTACCTTGGATTCTTTTTATTTTTCTGTAATATTTGAATTATCTTCATAGTAAAATTTTAAACATTAGTCTCACCTGGGCTATCTGACTGCTGGCTGGCAAAGGTCAGTATTTCCTGGCAGAAGTATTTCCGTTCCTCTTCGGTTAAGTGATGATCGCTGGCCAAGAGGCTGCTGGTCTGAAGGTAGCTGCAGTGGGAAGTTAAGGGGCCTGCAGCGAGGCCCTCGCACAGAGGGACATGGCTCAAGATGGCTTTGAGAGTCCCCGATAGCCTTCAAAGAGGAGCCCAAGGGGTGTTCTTATTTTTCCCATAAGTTACTATGAACTCAAAATTAGATTAAGAAAAAACTGACCAGGCATTTAATCCGTATTCTACACAATGCCTATGTAGATGGTAGGGTTTTTCTCTCCTTACTATTAGAGGCATTTAACAACAATTTTAGGCAACGCTGCTATATGAAAATATTAAACTTAAAGGATACTTCTCAATTTGTCCAAGGTGCTTTTGACATTCAGCCAGTTGTTTCCTTGTGTGTGTGATGGGCAGTGCCCAGCCCTCAGCCAGGTAATTTTTCAGTGCTCCTTGAAGATAGATTTCTGCCTTTTGTGGAGACTTTTTCCTCCTTGCAAAGTCAACAAACAGAAGCTTTCATTACAGCTCAGGACAATCAATAAACTGAGCTACCACCTTGCACGTCTGGCTCTCCTTCCTCCTGATGCCTGCCAGGGACCGTATACTACCTCATGACAGCCCTTCCCCGCCCACCCCACCTGCATGACAAAGAGCTCGGGCTCAGGACCACGTGACTAGACTCCAAGATGAAGATGTGAGAAATGGCTCACAGCGAAAAGACCACAACAACTGCCTATATGCACACTGGTCAAAGAGCTTCCCGGTCTCAATCTCAGGGCAAAGTGAGAGCATCATTTACTATTTCAAGCTGACAGACCAGAAGGCCGAGGGCTGTCCATAAGTACACAGCCAGTCAGCAGTAAAGCCAGGAGTCTAGGTCTGTGTGACTCTGTGTGACCAAGAGCCATCACACAGCCATACCAGGAAGGGAGCAAGGGTCAACTCTGAAATTCAGGCAAAGAACAAGGAGGTTTCAGAGGTTTGCAGAGAACCATGAAGAATTAAAACAGCAACATTATCACCCAAGAGAAGATCTTCCTTGTCCCAGTCTAAACCTCAGAAATGTTCAAAACGTAAGTTTAAAGCACAAATGCTAATAGTGTGCCAAGGCCTCAGGGAGGACACAGATGCCCTCGCCTTCCCAGAGGGCCAGGACTGGGGAGCGTGAGGAAGAGGCCAACACTGAATCAGCACTCACTTTTCCATGCACCCTTAGAAGACATTTCCATTTCCTTACTCTACTCCTGAAGCAGTAGGGGTTCTCCATTTCTTAAACTAGAGACATTGCAAGCCCACCAGATTATACTGGCTTTCTAGACTTCATGACCCTCCCTTCAACCCCCATGTTTTAAAGGGGTCAGAACCTTTGATACTTGCTCAGTTACTATAAGAAAGACTCTTCTGTTTTAGAGCTGGAACAGACTCTACAAACCATTTGTCCAGCCCCTCAATGCCTGCTAATGAGGAGATGGAGGCCGACTAATAACCAGCCAGCTTGTGGCCAAGCTGGGACCAGTCTAACTAGCAGGCCAGCGCAGCCACTGTGACGCACTGCCTCAGAACATGCTAGTCTTCCAAGTAAGTGCAATTCACAGCATCTGAAGACACAGCTTCTTTGAGACATTAATAATTTATTCCTTAGGTAGATCAGATGGAGACTTGACAGATCCAAATTTTAGTCCTGACCCTGCCTTTAATTAGTTATGTAACCAGCTAGCTGCTGTGACCACATCAGAAAAACTAATAAATTCAGAGATAATCTGTGAATCCCTTTCCAGACAATTCATACCAATTCAAATAAATTATTCTCAATTCATTTAATGATATTACTTTATTAAACAGATTTCATTTGTCAAAAGACCTCATTCTTTTCCTTTATATCTCTTTTTCAGTGCTTTGAAACAGCAATCACACTGATAGGATTTCTTCTTCTTAATGAGCTGATTTTAACAAACAGGCTAGAACTATGCCACACTTTGAGTCTTGGGAAGCTGGAGTCGGAACGAAGCCCACATGGTTGCACCCTCCACCCCCCAGAGCACTCGTCCCTCACACCCCAACACAGAGTCACTACACATCACGGGCCTTGAGGTCTTCAATCATCTTAAGAAATATTTGATGAACCAGAGAAATTCTATACAACAAATATTTAAGCATCTATATTCCTATTTACTTACCCAGTGGGATATAGGCTCTTTAATACTTCCTCTTAATTATTTAAAGTTAAATATAATTTTTATATATAATAAATTTAATTTTAAAAAAGAACCTCAAAGACCAATAACAATTATTAAAGATAACAAGCAGACAACCTCTCCATTTGGTTTTCCATTTGCTTTTGAGAAATCAAAAAGCAAAAAGATACAGATTGGTTAAGAGATTCCATATTTTTTCAATTGATAAATTTATGCATACTATATATTAAACTCTACACATAATAATTCTTCCCTTGCTATTCATGTGAAATGTTTAAAATTCAAAGAAAAGTTCAAGATCAATTACATGTAAAATTCTGCCAGATCTTTTCCAACAAGCTTAGCAGATCGAATCCTCCCAATGCTTGTGTACATTTCAATGGTAGCGTGAGACAGATCCTACGGAAAAGTAAAAGGAGCATAATCATATATTTGGAATATTTTGAAATAGGGTCTGACTTTGTTAGAGTGCACTGGCCTCATCATAGCTCACAGCAAGATTAAACTCCTGGGCTGAAGCGATCCTCCTGCCTCAGCCTACCAAGTAGCTGGGACTAGAGATATCCCCACCATGCAGGACTAATTTTTCTACTTTTTGCAGAGATGAGGTCTTGCTCTTGCTTGGGGTGATCTTGAACTCATGGCCTCAAGTGATCCTCCTGCCTCAGCTTCTCAAAGGGCTACAATTATAGGCAATGCACCACCATGCCTAGCACATGTACTAGAATTAATGATAGACAAATAACTACATTTATTTACTCAAAGCTGAAGCAAAAGACAGTTACTCGTGTAACGTTACTTTTTACTTTGCATCTACTTTTATGTCGAATTTTTCTGTAATATGTAATCTAAGTAACCTGTATATAAATTATGAAGCACAACAGGAAAAAAAACCCACAAATGCATCCAAAATAGAGTATTTTACTTTTCAAAGTACTTTCCATATGTGGGTAACATTTCTTTCTTTTTCTTTGGCCAGTGCTGGGTTTGAACCCGCCACCTCCGGCATATGGGGCCAGCACCCTACTCCTTTGAGCCACAGGTGCCGCCCTGTGGGTAACATTTCTGACACTTTTTCACCTGTTGTATAGCAGGGACAAAGCATTAGAGGCCACTGTCAAATGTTCTGGAGTTAACTGTGACTCAGAAGCAAAGCTGATCCTCTGAGCTTCTCTACCTATGCTGCTTTCTGAAGTCTAATTTAAATCTTTCAAAATCAAGCTCTGCTCAAGTTCAAATTATTCCTTCTTACAAAGAAAAGGGCTCATTATTCTCTCTTACAATTTCTATTCTACCAAATGAGCAAGCCCAATGTGAACAAAACAGTAAGTCTTCATATTAGGCTTTCATGCCTAATTATTAGAACAAGGGGCACCATGAACACATGATAAACAACAATTACTCTCTTTATGTCCACAACTCCCTAGGTACCAAAGGAACAAACATGCAGGCCAACAAGAAGGAGGTCTCAGATACCAGCACGTTCCCAGTTCAAAAGCTGAAGAAGAGCCTCTAGAAACCGGCTCACCCCATGGACAAACAGGGAACACTGTGATACTTACTAAATAGTGTTTTTCAAAAGCTTCCACTGACGATAATGCTTCCTTGAGTTTCTTATAAGGACTCTGAGCTGTGTTGGCTTAAAGAAAGAAAAGAGAATCCTTCTTCAGCTTCACATGTACGGTCACCTGCAGTTACGTTCACCTTACAACACTGCAGGTAGATGGCCTCGTGCAGCTCTTGTGGGAATTATAAACCACCACACCAACTAAACTGTATCATTGTGCTTTTCCAATTAACATATTCATAAAACAGTCTCAGCTCTTCAGACATATAACTCTGATCATAAGACTACTACTTCCAAAATAATCTGAAGTGGTCTCCAGTTGATATAGTGTAATATATATCCTCCCTTAAAAATTTATTCAATTGAGTAAAAGTACCCTCAGTTCATCAGGCATTCTTACCACATTTTACTTTAGCAATGGTTTTGCTATGACACACTCTTACCATATTTTTGTACCTGAAACAATTAATAACACTCCTTTCAAAGTGCTTTACTACCCATGAGTAATTGATTGAAGAATGGTCAGACTACATTGTTAGAAAAAGATCATCTGTAATTCAAATGGAGACTGATGCACTGAAACTTCATATGAACTGTAAAAAACACTGTTACCAGCTCATTTACACCTAGGAGAAACTCAGATACATTTTTTAAAATCCTTCCTAATTCTTGAACTATTTTTAACATTCCTTTATGCTGTAAAAAGGTAAAATATCCTATCTATTAATCCAGTCAGCAAATAATGGGCATAATTTCCCAAATGGTGAGTAATTAGAACTTGAGTTAAAGAAGCCAAGTTGCAAAGGATGTTTTCATTACTTTCTATTGCACACTCACATAGGTACATATAAACAGTACCTGTTTCAGGCCGCTCAGCTCCCAAACCTGCCAAAAGATCAACTGTCCTATTGAGATCTTCTGAGTTAGGTCCTTTTTCTGACACGAGCCCACACAGATAGCCCAAGGACTTTAGCTGTTAAGATAAACCCACAATTTCAATTAATTTTCCCTAAGAATCCACAGAGAATTCAACAATTTTAAATATAAAAATTTTATATTCAGAAGAAATTTAGCTTTCCCCCAAAGGATTCCTATCTGGATATAAAAATATAATTCACTGGGGTCATTTCTCAGTGTGGCTCTGAGGGTAAGAACCCTCTGCTTCCACCTGCACCTCCCCACGCTGTCCCAAGCTTCTGAGGTCCACCACTCCCCTGTACCTCCACAACTCCCGGCAGCCTGCCCTGCTGCACAAAGCACTGTCACTGCCGGCGTGACCAAAGCCACCCTGTGTTTCTACACCCTGTTCCACACTCCGTCCCTCTTAGAATACAGCCACTTCCACAGCGTGCGTGCAGCAAGCGCTCACTGTGTGCTGAGGAAGCTCCTGCCCAGGAGGGCGCTGTGGCATCTGTGGCTGCATGCAGACGCAGTCTAAGGCCACTAGAAATGCCGACTTGTGATCTGAGTGAGCAGCACCTCTCCTGACAGCTGACTCCCCCGCGGGGAGACACGAGCACTCGTGCTGGGCAGCACCTTTTCTGTGGCATAGCTCCACAGCCCCACGGTGTGGGCGATGTTTGAGTCTATCTGCGCCCGGTCACAGCAGCCTTCAATCCTCTGCAACACCTCCAGGCAGCTCAAGAACACCCAGCAGTCCAGAGCACCGGGCGGGACAGAGACCTGCAGGCACAAGAGTGGTGTGTGAGGGCGCTGGGAATGCATGAGGCAGCGCTCCTACTGGACCGCTCAGGACCCTCACCCACCTCCAGCAGCCAGCCCAGCTGACAGTGCTATCATCTCCAAAGCCACAGAAAAGAAAGGGCAGAGGACACTGATTACTTGAGTTCACATGGGCAAAGAAAAGGAGAGAATTATATTCAAATGTTATTGAGTTTTATGTATTTGATGATAATGAACAACTCAGTAGGATATAACCTTCAATTATATATTTTAAAAACTTTATTGAGAAAAAAACCTATAAAATATCAAATACCATCACTTACTCTGAAAGCATGAACTGGTTACATCTCAGTTTGAAAGGAAATAGGCAGGGAGAAACTCAGACCTCAGAGAACTGCTTGGTCACATTGAAGAAGCACCGTGGCCAGGCACGGTGGTGGCTCACGCCCATAATCCTAACACTTGGGGAAGCGGCAGCCCAAGGATCTCAAGAGGTCAGGCATGTGAGACCAGCCTGAACAACACAGTAATAAGATCCCACCTCTACCAAAAATGTTTCTGAAAATTAGCTGGGCAGTGGTGCACTCAGGAAGCTGAGGTAGGCTCATCTGCGGCGAGGGTTTGAGGTTACAGCAAGCTATGATCATGCCACTCCGCTCTAGTGGGGTGCAAAACACCATGTGCAGCAGCGGAGACTACATACTGAACAGATATCCAATGACACTTAGGAATTAACAGTTCAATATGTTTAGGAGTGATTGCCCACTCTACTTCTGCATATATTTTCTTTTCAGACTTAAAAAAAAGGAAATATTTTATTATTAGAAACGCAAACACACCTAATATATACAATTAATTCTAAGATGTATATTCCCCCCATTTTAGCCTCTCTGAAATAGGAGTGTCTCTCTCAACTAACAGCATCTTACATTTACAGTATTAGGCAATGCTGAATTTTTTTTTCCCAAGACAGAGTCTTACTTTGTCACCCTCGGTAGAGTGCCATGGTGTCATGGCTAATGGCAACCTCAAACTCTTGGGCTCAAGCAATTCTCCTGCCTCAGTCTCCTGAGTACTGAATTTCTCCTGTTGGCCCCAACTTCCTGACCTGTCTTTGTTTGGATGAAATGTGCTGACTGGTACTGTTACACAGGGACTGAAGAGGGCATCCTGCCCGGTCTTCAGGGAGGAGCTGCAGATACCAATAGCACCGACTTAGGTAAGATGTCCCGGAGACATCTGAGCAAGAGTGACAATCAGAGGGTCTGGAACAAACTAGAAAAGACCACGAAGTGCCAATAAGTATTCCTACAAGAGAAGTGAAATAAACTACTTAAATCCTCTGGAAAAAATCAGCATAGAAAAAAACTACACGATCACAAGATGATTCTATAAAGTCTTACAACTTTGTCACCCAAGCAGAGCACACCAAAAGGCAGCACAGAAGAGTCGGTCAGCTGGACGAAGATCACGCTCCCCACCCCCGCCGAGGACAGCAGCATCCTCCTCAGTCAAACCAGAGCGGGCTCGAGGGCTGACTTCAGCCCTCACAGCTACAGATGCCAGGCGATCTGGGGTATTTTCACCTCCCAAGACATACCCCCATAGGTGTCAGCTCTGTGGAACTTCCTATAAACATGCCACCCGCCCCTAGGTACACACTGGTTGACAAAAAAGACCTCAGGAGTGATTGAGAGACTCGTACAAAGGAGGATTACAGACAAAGAGGGGAGGAAAAACCCCTAATCAGGGCAAAGGCTCTGGCAGAGGGTGCCAGGGCACAAGTGGCGGGGCACATGTGGGCAGCTCTCAGAGCCAGGTCACTCTCCAAAACTAGGATGTGACAACAGCAAAGGATCAGGGTAATGTGACAGATGACACAGCTACACACACACAAAGAGCCAGGAAGGCACCAAAATGGGAGTAGCAGTATTCTTGTATAGCAAGACTACAGATGTTTTCTTGGTATATTTATTTTTTACAAGGCCAAGTACCACTTTAGTAGGTTTGAGCAAGGGTATTTTAAAAGCAGCAGCAGCTTTTCTGAAGGTAAAAGCCAATCTAGTGCAGCCATGGCCGCTGCTCAAATTTGTAATTGGACTTCCAACCTGGAGGAGGAGGGAGACAGCAGGCAGGCCCTGCAGGGGGACCCGCCCCTGCTCCCTCAAGGACTCACAATCACACCAGGCACTGCTCTCTGGTGGCTGCCATAGCCCTTCTCCGTAGCCCAGTGCCCACAGCTTCAGAGAGCCCTACAGCTTTCCACATTTCCTGTCACACACCATTTTAAGATTTTACTGGAAAAAACACAAACATATTAATCTGGCAGGCCAGGTGGTATGGGGGTCACCTCGAGGTGACATTACTTCCTACTGTGCGTGACCCTCTCAGCTCCCAACCAACTTCAACTAAGCAACCCAGAGAGCCCTGTTTCCTCTGTACCCTGCAGAGGCCGGAGAGGCGGCAACCAGACCTTCAGTAGTAGGTCATCTAAGACTTTCAAAAGCTTTAAAGAAACAAATTTATTAAAATATAATTGTAGTGGTAGTTTTTTCACTGCTTTTAAAAAATAAGTGACAAGGCTGAGCACAGTGACTCACACCTGCAATCCTAGCACTCTGGGAGGCCGAGGCAGTAGATTGCCTGAGCTCACAGGTTCAAGACCAGCCTGAGCCAGAGCAAGACCCTGTCTCTAAAAATAGAGACAGACGTTGTGGAGGGCGCCTATAGTCCCAGCTACTCTGGGGGCTGAGGCAAGAGAATCGCTTGATCCCAGGAGTTTGAGGTTGCTGTGAGCTATGACGCCTCTGCACACTACCGAGGGCAACAAAGTGAGACTGTCTCAAAAAAAATAAAAAATAAGTGACAAAATACACACAGTAAAGCACATAAGGGGCACAAATCTCAAATCTAGAGGTCACTATGCAATCAAGAAGTAAATCTGCATTGTCCTAGAAGGTCCTCTGTGCCCTTTTCCCAGTCAAAACACACCTCAACAGGTCCCCATCACCAACAATTATTCCTGCCTGGCTTTGAACATCACACAGTGGAATTACACAGCAGGAGTCCTGTCCTCTCTTAGCATACAGCTTCATTGGGTTCCAGCCTTGCTGAGGCGACGGGTGGCTTGCTCCTCCTCTCTGCTGTGTATCACACCCTCCAGTGAGCAGGCAGAACATACTTATCCATCCCTCCCAAGTGTCTGGGTAGTTTCCAGCACTGGCTGCTGTGGATAAGCCACCACAATGTTACCCAACAGCAAGAGGTGGGGGAGGCCTTCCAAGACTCAGAAGACCTTCCCGCCCGCAGTGTAGCAGCCTGCACAGGAGGACATGAATCCCTGCTGCAGAGATGCACGCACTCAGGTGAAGGGGAAACGTGGCATGGGCAGTACAGGAGCCACTAGGGGACGGGGGGAGGGCAACAGTGGACCCAAATGAACCACCCTTCTAACAGCTGCTGAGGCACTGCCGGCTTAGTGTGGAGAGCTGCCGCCCTGAGGGGCCCAGAGCAGGGCCTCACCATCAAGTATTCACGCACACAATCCAGTAATCCAGGGCGGTTTCACCACAAGCAGCGCTGCCCACTAGTGCCACTCACTTGGCAGCACCACGTACCCTGTTCTCAGGGAAACATAGCAGAGAAGTGAACCACGGTCAGAGTCTCTCACTGGTTCCCACGTTTCTATGAACATCCCCACAGGCACTCTTGTTAACTCATTTTCTTGGGGGGCACTGCTGCATCACAGCACAGGCATGTCTATGCTTTACGAGACACTAGCAAAGGGTTTCAGAGTCACTGCACAAAGTTGTGCTGTCATCAACACATTTCAGTTCCACTCTTCTATCCTCACCATCACTTGGAACTGTTTCGTAAAAAATCTTACTTCATACATTATGGTGGAGGTTGAGAATAAAAAATAAAAAATAAATCGCATCAACTCTGGAAAAGTATGACCGTCCTGCTGCCATGGTCTTCATCTACCCTAACAAGCATCCGCGGCTGGCTCCTGGGGCAGCCAACAAGGAGCACGTCTGCGCGACTGCGGCCTCATCACCAGGAGCCACACCTCCGCACATGGCCTCTGCCACCCCAGAACATCACGTCCCCAAACCAGCAGAGACAGAATCTGCTCTGTTCCGAGAGCCCTTGTCTGACTAGCAGAGCTCTGCCATTTTGCCTGGGAACTGGGTGGTGGGCTTGTCCTCTCCTGACAACTCACATTTCCCCAGTGAGAAATGGTGCTGACATCACCAAGCAATGCTTGGCCATGTGGATATCATTGGTGAGAAACATTCAAACTAATTGTTTCATATGTATTCTTTAATTTTCTTACAGCCCCTTCTCTCTTGATTCTTTTATTCTTAGGAATGGCAAGAGCCACTTTACCATTTTTAAAGGCATTCTTCTTTCTTTTGATAAACCTACCTTCAAATGTAACCCACATACTGGAAAGGACAAGAGTCCCGAGTGGCCCCCAGCATGCCCACCATAGACGAAGGGTCAGAGTGGCGTGAGCTGCAGGAGTCTCTTACCAGTCATCGCCCTCCACAAATGCATCACTGGGCAGGCTCACAACAGACTGGTTCTGCTTTACTTTGAACTTTATATACGAGGAATCAAAAAGCACATACTCTGTCCATCTTTTTTAGCTGGACCATGTGTCGGGGAGATTCACCCACTGTGGCTTGCTCACGCTGTGTGCTGCTCAGTGTATGGACATGGCAGGATCATGTTGCCCCTTAGACGCAAGAGACACGTCAGTTCTTCTCAGTTTCTAGCTGTGATGACTCATGGTGCCACAAGCATTTCTGTACCTGCCTCTTGATGTCTGTGTGTGCCCTTTCTGAATATGCCGGGGAGGGTCTGCTGGCACACTTCACAGAGTGTGTACATGTCCCTCCCAGCTGCCATCACCAAACAACTTTCCAAAGCAGCTAAGCCAATTCATGTTCTGTCACTGACAGAGCTCAGTCCTTCCACCTCCTGCTACTGCTTGA